GGACGCTCTTCCCTAGGTGGTTGAGCCGTGGTGATGTGGTGCACGAGACCGCCAGTAGTAGTAGTAGTAGTAGTAGTAGTAGTAGTAGTAGTAGTAGTAGTAGTAGTAGTAGTAGTAGGAGTAGTAGTCGTAGTAGTCGTAGTAGTCGTAGTAGTAGTAGTAGTAGTCGTAGTAGTAGTAGTAGTAGTAGTAGTAGTAGTAGCAGTAGCAGTAGCAGTAGCAGTAGCAGTAGTAGTAGTAATAGTTAGTTATTGCTAGTCAGTAAGAGTATTTAGTAGTTATCAACGCAAGGAGTACAGCTGCAGTAAGGAGTAGTTCGTAGAAAAATAGTCGTAGTAGTAGTTTAGTAGTAGTAGTAGTAGTAGTAGTAGTAGTAGTCGTAGTAGTAGTAGTAGTAGTAGTAGTAGTGGTAGTAGTAGTAGTCGTAGTCGTGGTAGTCGTAGTCGTAGTAAGTAGTAGTAGTAGTAGTAGTAGTAGTAGTAGTAGTAGTAGTAGTAGTAGTAGTAGTAGTATGAGGAGGTGGAGGAGGAGGGAGGAGGAGGGGAAGAAAAGGGGGAGGAGGAGGAGGATGACAATGAGGAGGAGGAGGAGGAGGAGGAGGAGAAACAGCAGGGGGAGGAGGGGGAGGAGGAAGAGGAGGAGGAAGAGGGGGATAAGCCGACCAGACGATAACGACTCCACACACATGAATCGATCTCATCAAAGATGATCTGAAATAAATGACGGAGCTTGCAACCACTGCCGACGACCCACAGAGATATTGGGACACGCAAAGGTGGCTACAATACGCACGCGAAGCACCCAAACAGTTCCGCAACCAGGTCGACAAGGCGAATTATCCTGGCGAGGGACCTATACATATGCAGTTGTGGGTGCCGCGATTGTGAACATCTCCTTCGTTGAAGCTCCATATGGGGGCACGAAGCGCTGCACTCGGTGGGGGGAAACGCATGTGGGCGGTAACACTGGGGCCGTCGGTGGAGCTCCCTATGGGGCCACGAAGCGCTGTGTTGGGTGGGGGGGACGCATGCAAGCGGTAGCACCGGGGCCACGAAATTTTGTACTGGGTGGGGGGAACGCATGCGGGCGGTAGCACTGGGACCTTTGGTGGAGCTCTCTATGGGGCCACGAAGCGCTGTATTGGGTTGGGGGTAACGCATGCGGGCGGTAGCACTGGGGTCGTCGGTGGAGGTCCCTATGGGGCCACGAAGCGCTGTACTGGGCGGGGGGGACGCATGCGGGCGGTAGCGCTGGGGCCGTCGGTGGAGCTCCCCATGGGGCCACGAAGCGCTGGGTGGGGGGAACGCATGCGGGCGGTACCACTAGGGTCGTCGTTGGAGCATCCTTTGGGGCCACGAAGCGCTGTACTGGGTGGGGGGGACGCATGCGGGCGGTAACACTGAGGCAGTCGGTGGAGGTCCCTATGGAGCCACGAAGCGCTGTACTGGGTGGCGGGGACGCATGCGGGCGGTAGCGCTGGAACCTTCAGTGGAGCTCCCTATGGGGCCACGAAACGTGTGAGGGGTGTGCCGGAAATGAGTGTGGGGGACGCATGCGGGCGGTGGCATTGGGGCCTTCGGTTGAACTCCCTATGGGGTCACGAATCGTTTGAGGGGTGTGCCACATTGGGTGTGGGGGACGCATGCGGGCGGTCCCGCTGGGGGCTTCGGTGGAGCTCCCTTACGTCGGCTCCAAGAGGGGTGGCCGGCTCCCCTCGGCGGAGGGGAGCTGCCCACGACACCGCCACGTCGGCTCCCAGAGGGGGAGTGGTCGGCTTCCCCCTGGGCGAAGGGAGCGGCCGCGACCCTGGGGGGGAGCCAATCTGCTCCCCCCCCGCGAGGGGAGCGGCCGCGACACGGGGGGGAAGCCAATTTGAGCAAGGTCGTAAGGAAGCCCCTTCCCTTTTATCCCTTCCCCCCGGGGGAGGGGGAGGGGAGGGGTCCCACCAGGATGCCCGGGAGGGGGGTTGGGGGAAGGGGGGCCCTTCAAACGCTTCCTCCCCAGGCGGCTCCCTTCGGGGGAGGGGAGCGGCCGCGACGCGGGGGGAAGCCAATCTCAACAACGTCGTAGCTTACTCGAAGGGAAGCCCCTTCCCTTTTATCCCTTCCCCCCAGGGGTGGTGGGGGGGTGGTGGGGGGGGGTCCCACCCGGATGCTCGGGGGGGGGGGGGAGCCCAGGCAGCTCCCTTCGGGGGAGGGGAGCGGCCGCGACGCGGAGGGGAAGCTAATCTGAGCAACGTCGGTGTTTACTCGAGGGGAAGCCCCTTCCCTCGTGTCCCTTCCCCCCGGGGGGGGGGGGGAGGTCCCGCCCGGATACCCTGGGGGGGGGGGCTCGACAGGCTCCTTTCGGGGGATTCCCTGTCCACGAGATCGCCACGTCCGCTCCAAGAGGGGTGGTCGGCTCCCCTCGGGGGAGGGGAGCTGCCCACGACACCGCCACGTCGGCTCCAAGAGGGGGGTGGTCACCTCCCCCCTCCTCCTCCTGCTCCTCCTCTTCTCCTCGTTTTCATCTGCGTCGTCTTCAGGGTCGGCGGCAACGGCCGTAAGGCTTTCGCAATAAAAGCAAGGCTGTGACAGACGGTGCAAAACAAATAAAGACATAATAGCGTAAACACATCGAGGGATGATACGCCCGCCCGCTGAAGGTCTCTCTTCGGGTACCCGAATGCTATCTTGCGACCTTCTGCAGCATAGTCGCTATGAGGGCGTTATTATTGGAGCTCTCTCGTGGCAGTCCTGGGCGTCTTGGGGCCCTGTTGAAGGACTTTTGGAACCTCTGGGGCCCGCCTTGCCCATCGTGGCAGTCGCTTGGGCGCTCTGGAGAGCTTCAGATGCGTCCCACGGCATGCTCAGATGACTCTGGGCTTGTCCCCAGAACCCAGAGTTCCCACCCAAGACGCATCAAGAATCCATGTAGGGATCATGGCCGACACGTCTGGCAATACCCGAGACGCTCATCGAAGTCTGCAAACCAGTCTTGGATCCGCCGCTTGGACCGCAAGATTGGAAATCCCAGAGCTGCCGCAAAACCTGAGTTGCTTTGCTTTGAAAATCATTTGATTAGTTGGGAGTTCCCTTGGGGCGGGCGGAAAAAAGGGGTGAACCACTGTCCCTTCTTCTTTGGATACAGTGCGGCACGCGACGGCGCCGCAAGCCCGCGGGCGCGCCGCGCGCGACCGCCGCGCGCACCCTGCGCAGCGCGCGAGCACTGCACCCTTTTTCGAGGCCATGAAAGAAGCTTCGTGGCTTCCCCAAGCCATGTTTGGGCTACCTTCGACCATCGTGGACGCATGTTGGAGGGGCTGGCAGAGCACGGCGACGAGCAGCACGAGTCCTGCGACGGCAGGGCGCCGAGTCGGCCACGGAGCGCGGAGCTGGATGTCGACGAGCTTCTTGGCCAGGTGTTCAAAGCCCCTCTCCTCCTCCACCTCGTAGTCCTCTCCCCCCCCCCTCCCTGTTCCTCCTCACCCCCCCCCTTCGTCCTCCCGGCCCCTCCCCATGCCGTCCTCGTCCTCGTCCTCGTCCCCGTCCTCCTCGTCGTCCAGCCCCTCCTCCTCATCGTCACCCTTCCCCTCCTCCTTCCCATCCCGATCGTCCTCTTGCTCGTCCTCGCCGTTGTCCTCCTCCTCCTCCTCCTCTTCGCGTCTTCATCCTCCTTGTCCTCCTTCTCGTAATTCCCATCACTATCGCACATCCTCCCTCCCCTGCTCATCTCTTTTCTATGCTCGGCCATTGCATTCATGCTTCCGCGTGCTCGCGCGAATGGTCACGCGTCCTTGCGTGCTCGTCATGCTCATGCGTAATCCTATATATTCCTCTCACCTCTACGCGCTCATACTGGTTCCAATGTATCCGTGGATTCCTCTGTACAGGCGTTGCGTTTTCTGGTTCAATTGATTGTTGGATTGATGAGGTGACCCTGGGCATATTCCGCTTAGTTTGTCCATGTGGTTTCTGACGTGCTTGAGTCTGACTGCAGGCTTGCATGCCTGTTTGCGCTTGAATGCGCTTGGTTGCCTGTTGGTGCTCGCTTGCCTACGTTGATGTGATCGCCCGGATGCACTTGCTTGTTTGCTTGCGCCTGCTTGTGCCTGCCTGCTCGCTCGCTCGCCTAAGCCTGTGCTGGTCTGTTCAACCTTGCATGTGCCATGCTGTTGCACGCATTTTCATGCGAGCAACTCGTGCGCCGTAAGGCGCGGTGAGGCCGCGTGGCCATTTCGGCCTCCTACTGCACGTGCAATTACATTCATTCGGTGGCCGCCCTGGGTGCCTTAGGCACTCATGGCATGAATCATTGGAACTCTGCCCACACAATGCTCAAACATCTGGCCCGGACTGGTACCAGGAGGCGAGAGAAGAACGGGGGAGGGGAGACGAGTGGAGGTTGGAGGCGAAGCAGACTTGTGTGAGGAGGAAGGGATGGGAGACGAAGGGGAATCGGACTCGAGGGGGAGGGGAAAGGAGGGGGAAAGATAAAACGACGAACACGTGAGGGGGAAGCGGACAGCCAAGGGAGGCCAGGGTGGAGGTGGAGGAGGGTGAGGCGAGAAGAAGGGGATGGGAGGCTCGAACGCGGTTTGACGGCGCGGTGGCTGCCCGCGACGGGGGTCGATGTGGGGCTGTCGGCGGGGGTGACGCCTCCCTCGACGCTTATTAAGAAACTCGGAGTACGGATATGATCGCCGCTGGTGAAGATCGGCGGCGAGCGAGGGGGGGGAAGTTAGAAGTGGCGGGCCTTCTCAAGAGGCTCGAAGTCCCCCAGCCTCCCGAGAAGTTTCCTGAGCTTTCCCCGAAGACAGAAAGCACTTCTCGGCATGCGCGAGGGGCTCTGAGAAATCCCGCCGCCTTCCGAGCAGGCCGCCGACCGACGAAAACGACCGACAACCCAGCCCCTCGAACCCGTACCCCGTCTCCATGCCCAGGGCCGAATGGAGAGGCTGGTCCGCGCGCCGTTCTGGACCTTCCTGCGCGAACTGAGCGCGGAGGACATCTGCGCGGGCCTCAGGACACCTGCGGGGGCCGCGGGGGGGCAGCGACCTGCCGGGGCGCCCGTGGTCGTCGTCGAGGGAGGGAATAGAGGGGAGGAAGGGGAGGGGATGGGAGGGAAGGGAGGGGAGGCAGGGAGGGGAGGGAGGGGAGGGGATGAGGCAATGGAGGGAGGGGAGGGGAGGGAGGGAGGAAGGCGAGGAAGGGATGGAGGGAGGGAGGGAGGAGGGAGGGAGGAGGGAGGAGGGAGAGAGGGACTTGGCATCGCTTGGACGTGTGCATGTTACTCTCGGCGAGGACCATCGAAGAGCATCTTGACCATCCCACGAACAAATAAACGCACGAAATCGAGAAATGCACCCGAAATGGACGTCCGAGCGATGGGGAGGGAAGGGAGGGAGGGAGGGAGGGAGGGAGGGAAGGAGGGAGGGAGGGAGGGAGGAAGATTGGTGCCTCAGGAGGCGGGCGCCGGCGGACCTGGCCGCCCGGGGGCGGGTGGGTGTGGGAATCCCGTCGCGTCCCGTGGGATCCCGACAGTCCTGCCGCGTGCGTCTCCTGCCAGAGGAGTCCGAGGACGTGGGGCGGCGATAGAGCCCCCCCAGCGCATCGAACGCCTGAGGCAGCAGAGCCTGGGAGCAGCGTCGCTCCCGCAGGGCCATCTGGCCATGGGCGACCCTGCTCCCCAGCCATGGCCGTTCTAGCCCGAAGCCTGGACCAGATAATATCCATTTCCAGAGACGCTTCTGTGGGGATGTGCGGAGCAGGCGCGGGCCGCCTGAGGGGGCGGTTGAACTGATCCAGCCCGGCCTCTGGTGCGGTCTCGTCCGAGAGATACTGTAGTTTTCCCTGCCGTTGGGCACAGGGTGTCTGGATCCGCCTCACAATTAAGAGGGCCCGGTCGGGAAAGGAGGCGTGGGGCAGGAGAGTGAGCGCTTTGCCGCGTCACCCTGCCTGCTCCGCACAGTTCGCCTGTCCGCTACGGAAGGGGACTGGTGGAGGGAGGGAGGGATGGAGGATGGACGGATCGCCATCGTCGCCGGGGAGGAGGGAGGGATGGAGGGAGCTTTGGCGGGAGGGAGGGGGGGAGGGAGGAGGAAGGGAGGCCTCGGGCCATGAGGGGCGAGTCCGAACGGACAGATCCGCGCCAGCGAAACGGCAAGGAGGGCTGCACACATGCAGGAGCAGCCGTGGCGCCTCAGAGGGGCCGCGCTTGTAGCCCTGCAGGCGCCACCGCCGACAAGCGTCAGCACTCCCTGGGGTGGGGGGGCAGGCCAGGAGCCTGGCCCGCAAAGGCGCCCTCCAGCACCGCGAGGAAACCCGTGGGGAGGAAGAGCAGGCCCAACACCAGCGAGGGGAGCTCACAAGCGGCGCGAGCCGTCGGCGCCGAGGAGTGCGACGAACGGCTCGTCCGCAGCCAGGCTCGACGACCGCGCGCCGAGCTGCGCGAGCAGGCCCGCGCGCTCCTCGGGTGGGGGCACCCGCAACAGCCGGGCGGCGCAGGCGCCAGCTGCAGCACGTCCCCCGCCATTGGCCACCCGCTCTGCCGACGCCGCTGCACGCGCCACCCCCGTCCGCCCCGCTGCTGTCGACGCCCACGCCGCACGGTGGCCCCGCAGCGAGCACCAGCGCCGCCGCCGGCCACGACCGCCGCAGGGAGTGAAAAACCGAATTGTAAAAACATATTCAAAGATAGTCAAGAATAGACAAGAAATTATCCTCGGACTCTATTTTTCCAATTTTCGAGCATTCCTCCTGTAGAGGGACATGCCGACCTAACACTAGTACGCGCGTGCGTACTGCGTCTACCGCGAAGTCTCTGGCCCCGCCCTGCGCCCACGGCCCAGCTTGGCCGCCGAGTCGGCCTTGGGAGCAGCAGCGTCCGGGTGGCGCTTCGGTTCTAGCAGGACGCGCTGGCTGGCCGCCCATCGCGAAGGACGCTCCGGCAACAGCCGAGCGCGCCACGGGTGCGACCGTGCGCCTGGGTGCCGTGGCACTCACAGCGCCCTGCACCGCAACGTGAACGACAGCAGTCGCGTCCGCCATGGGAGCCCCTCCGAGCCCGCCGCGAAGAGGCGCCGAATCGTGCGATTGCCTGGGTCGAAATAGCTAGAGCCAAACTGGCGGCTACGGATGGAGGAAGGAAAGAGGGAGGGAGGGAGGGAAGGAGGGAGGGAGGGAGGGAGGGAGAGAGGGAGGGGATGAGGAGGAGGAAGAGGAGGAGGAGGAGGAGAAGGAGGAGGAGGATGAGGAGGAGGACCAGGACGTTGGAATCAACCCTCCCTCCAAACTCCCTGTTCATAGGCCCCTGCAACGGTTCATTTCCACTCCTTAGAAAACAACCGTTTGAAGCCCCTGAAGCATACCCAAACATTGTTTTCGGGTCTCCAACCCCACGGATCAACCTGATGATTGCGTTTTGACGATCCGGAATCGTGCCAGAACGCCATTCCTGGGACTCCAACAGCGCAAATGAACATAATTGTTGCACCCTCATAATCCTCAATCATTCCGACACACCATTTCTGGTACGTTGATCATGGGAATCAGTGACACTCTTGCAAAATTAACCAACGAGTGTGCGCGGCGCTAGGGCGAGAACCACATTTTGAGAAGCATCCGCCCTCACTCTGCGAATCCCTTGCAAATGTTCAAAACGAACGTGCGCGGCGCGAAGGCGAGAACCACATATTGAAAACCATCGGCCCTCCATCCGGGAAGCTCTTGCATTTGTTGTACAAGTGTGCGCGGCGCTAAGGCGAGAACCACATTCTGAGAAACATCCGCCCTCAATGTGTGAATCTCTGGGAAAATAAGAAATGAACGTGCGCGGCGCGAAAGCGAAGACCACATTTCGAAATCCTTCCGCCTTCCATCCGTGAAACGCTGGCAGATGTTCAGCACGAGTGTGCGCGGTGCTAAGGCGAGAGCTACACTTTTGAAGCCACCTGCCCTCCGTTTGTGAAGCTGTTGCCAGATTTTAAACTTCAGGGTCATACGTGGCGAGGAAGTCTCAGGCGACACGCCTGGTCCCGCCCCCCAAAACTGGCCTCGGGGCACGACGGGGAGGCCTTGTCTGTAAGGAGGAGGAGGAGGCGGAAGAGGAGGAGGAGGCGGAGGAGGAGGATGAGGAGAAGGATGGGGAAGAGGAAGAGGAGGAGGAGGAGGCGGAGGAGGAGGAGGAGGAGGAGTAGGAGGAGTAATAATAATACAAACGATAGTATGGCAATACTAATATTCATAATGGAAAGAAGAAGAGAAAGATGAAGAGGAGGAGCAGGAGAAGGAGGAGGAGAAGGGAGGACCGTGGGCGGGTGGTGGGGGGTACCGAGGTTCGAGGTGCTTTGTTTTCGAGTGTGTTCGGGGCCTCTTTGTTCTCACTCATTGGGATCTTCTTGGGATTACGCGGGCTTGGCATAGAGCCTCGGGAAGCAGCCTCGGGCGACGCCCGTCGTGGCGAGGAGGAAGAGAAGGCGGATGAAAAGGAGGAGGATGAGGAGGAGGAGGACGAGGAGGAGGAGAAGGAGGACGATGAGGAGGAGGACGCGGAGGCTGATGATGATGTTGTTGATGGTGCTGCTGATGATGATGATGATGATGATGATGAGGAGGAGGAGGAGGAGGAGGAGGGAGAGGGGGAGGAGGAAGAGGATGAGGAGGAGGAGGAGGTGGAGGAGGAGGAGAAGGAAGAGGAGTCGATGCATGAGGAGGAGGAGGAGGAAGAGGGGGAGGCGAAGGAAGAGGAGGATGAGGAGGAGAAGGAGGAAGAGGAGAAGTTGGATCAGGAGGAGGAGGACTAGTAGGAGGAGTAAGAGTAGGAGTAGGAGTAGGAAGAGGAGAAGGAGGACGAGGAGGAGGAGGAGGAGACGGCGGAGGAGGAAGCGGGGGAGGAGGAGGACGAGGAGGAAGGGAAGGACGAGGAGGGATGAGGACGGACGGACGGATGGACGGACGTGGTTGCTGATGCGGATGTTGATGCTGACATTGATGATGCTGATGATGATGATGTTGTTGCTGGAAATGAGGAGGATGATGATACTGATGATGCTGCTGACGATGCTGATGCTGATGACGATGAGGATGCTGATGCTGATGCTGATAACGATGCTGCTGATTATGATGATGATGATGATGTTTATGATGATGATGTAGATGTTTCTGTTGTTGTTGATGATGATGACGATGATGGTGATGATGCTGTTGCTGCTGCTGATGACCATGATGGTGATGATGATGATGTTAATGGTGATGACGGCGATAATGCTGCTGCTGATGATGATGATGATGATGGTGCGTCTGAGACTGATGCTGCTGTTGCGGATGATGATGATGCTGATGATGATGATGTTGATGATGATGATACTGATGTGGATGATGATGCTGCTGCTGATGATGATGATACAGATGATGACGCTGATGATGATGGTATAGCTGTTGCTGTTGATAATAATGACGATGATGTTGATTCTGGAGGTGATGCTGCTGCTGATGATGGTTATGCTGATGCTGATGCTGGTGCTGATGATGATGCTGATGACGATGCTGCTGCTGCTGATGATGATGATGATGATGCTGTTGATGCTGATGATGATGATTCTGATGATAATCATGATGATGATGATGATGATGATGGCCATGCTAATGCTTATGCTGCTGCTGCTGATGATGATCATGATGGTGATGCTGCTGCTGATGATGATCATGATGGTGATGGTGATGGTGATGGTGATGATGATGATGATGATGATGATGATGATGATGAGAAGGATGAGGATGAGCATGAGGATGAGGATGAGGATGATGATGATGATGATGATGATGATGATGATGATGATGATGATGATGATGAGTATGATGATCATGATCTTGATGATGGGAGTGAGGGGCAGAAGGAGGTATAGCGGGAGGGAAGCATGAGGAAGAGAAGGAAGGCGGGCAGCAGGAGGGGGTGGCCTCGCCCCGGCTCGCCGCGAGGAATATCGCTCTGCCAGAGACCGTTCGGTTCATCGTCCGCATCACATTTGTGGTCAGCCCGCCCTGGCAGCCACGCCTCCTGAGAGGAGGAGCGGGAGGGTGGTGAGGGGGAGGGGCGTTCTTGTTTTTTTTTTGTTGTGTTATATCTCCCTCTCTCTGTGTATATATATATATATCTATAAAGGGACCGGTGGTAACGACGAGTTAACAACCAATGACGTGCCCAGAATCGCCACGCGCACATGGTTGAAATCGAAACGACCTGACACGCGTCTAAGCTCCGTGAGCCACCACGTAAACTCAAGCGACAAGAGACTGAACAGGAGCAGAGGGGACGAGGCGGTCAGAACAGAAGACCTCGCGTGCCGACGAGGCAGAGACATCTCCAATGTCTGGCCATGCTCTTGGAACCCAACTCCAAGCGAACAAGATTCGCCAAAACAGAAGGATATTCGGGATGATGATGATGATGATGAGGAGGAGGAGGAGGAGGAGGAGGAGGAGGAGGAGGAGGAGGAGGAGGGAGGAGGGGAGGACAGAGGAGGAGGAGGAGGATCAAACAAGCACACAAGGAGCAGCGCTCAAGCCAAACTGCCATAGGCGAGCCGTTGCGCGCATCCGAAATCTAACCAAACATGCAACAGTAAGCAGAGCCACATCGCAGTGGCGCGCTGGAGGACTGCAGCAGACAACTATCACATATGTACTAATAAGCGGCAGCATGCATGTTGAGGAAGGAGCAGAGCGAAAAGGAGAGACGAACGACCGAAACAGCGACGAGGGAAGGCAGAAGAGCGGAGCGTAGCCGCAACCACCGCATTGTTATGCACGCAGCGCCGGCTACCAGCCCTCCGCGGACCAGATCTGGAGCTCCGAGTGGCGGAATTCGGGGGGAGCGAGGACGAGACAGGCAGAGGAGAGGGAAAGCAGGCCCACCCCACCAGGGCAAGCCAGCGTTCCGCCTCCGGGAGGCAAGGGCGGGAGGAAAGAGACGAGAGGGGAGGGGAGTGCGACCCGAGTACTCGACGGGCACGGAAAAGGCAGCGAGTGAAACTGCAACCAACTTCGATGCTGCGCCGGCCGAGTACACGCCGCCACACTCTGGGCGCCCACGTCTGCCTACGCAACTTGTTCTCCCAAACATCGGCGAACAACTACCTGACAGCGCCGGCCAGATAAACGTCATCGTGCCCTGGGTGCGCGCGTCTGTTCACGCGGGCTGTTCTCATCATCGCTGGCGAGAAGTAGCATCCCCCGAAGACGGGGTACCATCGGATCTGCACGACTCGTGAGCAACGTCGCCTCATGCGACGATGCCAAGATGCCAAACAAGCCCGCAACAACTCCGCGTGGCAATTTAAACGGTCGCAAGCTGGGTCCGGCCGACCACCCGGAGAATCGATGAAGAGTGAGGCCAAAGATGGATGCCACAACGGAGACAACGGAGATGTGCGCCAGGGAAATTCCCGACCCAATTTCGACTCCGACGGAGTGACCAGCTGGTCGTGCATTCTGTCGGCACCAATTTGCCCACAGACGCCCGAGCAGAGGTTAACAAAATGTCCCCCCCCCGGGCGGGCCCCTAGTTTTTTAAACAGGGGCGAAAGTGTGCACATACACTGTGTGGCGGCATCCTTGTTTCTGACACGCATGGCAAAGCGCGTGCAGATTCCAGGGAGAGGGAGGAGGAAAAAGGAAGGGCAGGAGGACGAGGAGGGAGGGCAGGAACGGCGGAAAACGCCGAGCTAGGTGCGCCCTGCTGCCGCCACGATGCTCGCGAGACGTGGATGAGCTGCACGTGCCTCGCGACCGAACTGCCACCAAGCGCCGGAAACATCAACCGTCGTGCCGTGCCGGGCAGCCGAAGAGGCAAGATTCGTTCAGTACGTGGACAGCGCCCTGCGCGCCAGCACGTCGGAGGTGCCATCTGTGAAAGCCGGCGCCAACACAAGAAAACTGGAGAGTCGACCAGGGGGGGGGGTGGAAGAGGAAAGTGGAGGTGCCGGTCGCCGATCTCGGCAAGGCGGGGGCAAAACGCAAAAACGCGCGTATCCAGCGTGAAATTTGTAATCCGCCACCGTCTCGGGCCTCCCACCGGTGCACGCGGCATTTGGCTGCCAACGTCGTAACATATGCATCTGGCAGCTGCGTCGGGAATCCCAGGGAAACCAAATTCCCCAAGGCCGCTGGCGAGGTCCAAGAGCGCGGCCCTGGGAACAATAACGAGCACGCCCTTTGCTCATGCCATTTCCCATTTGACGGTGCCGCGTCCACTTGCAACAGGACGCCCAGGACCCGAAAAATGTTGACCCTGTACGCCATGATGGTGTAAAACATACCGCACCCGATGTCGCGCCACACCCGGGCCCTGGAGAGGAACTTCTCCAGTGTGTTCCACGACAACTCCCCTCTCGGGGCCCACCACGAAGCCCAGGTGCATGGCGTGTCGGCGGACGGCGAACTCCCCCCATGTCGGCGCCGCTGCGTGTAGACGGGCCCTGACCTGATCGAGAGGATCCAAAGAGAGCGGGGCCCAAACCGGTTTACCTCTGTGCAGGCGCAAGGCAGCTATGCGCTCGTACTCGTCGATCGCGTGCTCCAAGATCGGGGCGTCCTCCGCCCCCCAAGGGAGAATTATCGCCCATTCGTCCGCGCATGCGCGAGACAGAGCTTCGGGGAGGAGACCAAGGAGTCGACGTAGAAGCACATCCGAGAGCACCGCGAAAAGGAGGGGCGATAGGGGGCGCCCTTGCCGAACACCTGCGCCGAACTCGAAGCCATCGAGGACGGCCCCGTGCACGACAAGCTGACACCGATTGTTGCGGTAGAGCGCCCGGACCAACGTAAGAACCCACGGCGGCCAACCGCGAACCTCCAGCGCGTCCATGGGGAACTGCTGGCTGACACTCGGGAAAGCCGTTTCGAGATCGAAGAAAACTGCTGCCACCGAGTCCGATTCCAGGGCGTGGTGCAGCATCGCCTTTTCCATGTCTATCAAATTCGCCAGCATGGAACGGCCTTGCAGGAAACCTCGCTGTGGGTCCGATGTCCCAAGTGCGATCGCCGGTTCAATCCACGCGCGAACCGCATTGGAGCTGATGCGGTTGTCCGTGTTCGTTATGTTGAAGGGCCGCATGTTCGCAGGCGTGAAATAGTCGATGTCGTCGGCCGCGGTGCCAAACGGCTTCTTAGATAAGAACATCATCGCGTTCTCGTTCAACGAGTCCCGATCTGCCGCGCGAAGATCGAAACCTGAAAGGCCAACTGTCGCCAAGAAAACGTCGTGGAGGGCCCGGGCCGCGAAATCCCCTAACTGGCGCCATGCCCGGAATGGAATGCCATCTGGCCCAGGAGAACTATTCTTAGTCGAACGGATCGCCTGGTCAAACACTTCGAACAGCACCGAGTCGCCTGGCGCGTGCTGGCGCTGCTCCACAGAGCTTTGCCGCAACTCGTCGGCCAGCCACGCCTGTCGCAACGCGCCTTTGGTACTGCGTCGACGGAAGATCTGTGACCAGTGCTCCCGCAGAGCGCGGGCGATGTACATGGGGTCCGTGCTGATGTGGCCTGAGCGGTCACTCAGGGCGTAATGGGGGCAGCCGCGTCCAGGCGCCGGGCGGGTGAGTAGGCAATGGTTGCGTTGCCGACGGCGCGTGGCCTGTTCTGGTGAACAGTCCTGGAGGTCCGAGTGTAAGTGGCCCGTTTCGTCCATGACGTGGTCGGGAGCAAGGTCAACTGCATGAAGACGAACCAGCCGGGTTTCTGCGCCCAATGCCCGAAGAGAAATCGGACATATTATCCACCAAATCTTTGAGAAGAGGGCACCGGACAATGCACTGGCTGACGCCCGTCGCGGACCCCTTCTCAAAAGCGCGGAGGAATTTCATGGTGACGCCGAGCGGATTTCGTGCGAAAGAGTGCATGCCGATGTGTCTGCACTGAGACTCAGGTGGCGCACTGCCTGTCGCATGGGGGTCTTGAGGAGCGTCAGCTGCTTGATGGGAGAGGCGCCCACCTCGGCCGTCGGCATCTCGTGCCACGCCAGCGCGACGAGCCGGGGCTAGCCAGGATGATCCACCACCTGGTCAGGACGAGGCGCCGCGTCCCCTAATGAGCGTCGAGGTGACGCTCGGCGGAAACTGACCGCCTGGTGACGGGAGAGGTCTGGGTGCCAGCCCAGCGGGGCGCATGCCATCTTCCGGTCAAAACCTTCCACCACATTTTGGTTGCAATACACCCGGTCCAGGCGAGAGCGCGAGTTGGGAGACGAGTAGGTCATGTCCGGCTGGTGCATCTCATGCAACCCATGCGGGATGTCCAGAAGACGATGCCAGCTGGTCTGCTCAGCCCGGTCGCGCCCTCCCGTCACGTCGGCAGTGGTGGCGCGGCGACGATCTTGGGCCTCTGAGACGTAGTTGGAGTCGCCGCCTAGAATGGTCAGAACCTCGTCCTTCGGGGAAATGCTGTGCGTGAATCGGCGTCGGAGGGCCTCCCGCAACTCCGTGCAGGAGAGTGTCCGACCCAGATCAGACAGCCCTGCTGCGTCGATGTCGTGCTGGTAGACCGTGCCGGTGTGGAAATGGGTAACCAAGAGGTCCAGATTCCCCAGCGGACCCCGAAGCTGTAGAACCGCGGCGCGTCCGTGATGAAAAATCCACCAACGGTGAGGTGCGGTGAACTGCTCCATTAGGGTGTTCTTGACAGTGATGCCGGAGCCGGCGCTTCCCGCCACAGCGCCTGGTGACCTCCAAGACGTACATCCTGACGGCTTGCGCCAAGTGTCGCCGCTGCCCTGCGTGCCGTGCGTCTCAGTCCAGAGGCCGACGTCGTGCGTGGTCATGAACTGACGGGCATGCTGCGCTCTCCGCCTGTATCGACTGGGGTCGGAGGCAAACGGCGCCTGGCAGTTCCAAGTGACCGCGGAGATCTCTCCGAGAAACGGGCTGCCCGCACAGGCGGTCCGCCTTCGTGAACGGGGCCCCGGCGAAGAACGAGGCGCATGCCATAGCTGCGCCATGAGGGTGGCCCAAAGCTGAGAGGAACACGAACTGCATCCTCAGCGAGAACGGGACGTCGGCCTGCGCAGCATCAGGGTTCTGGTCGATCCGAGCGGGGCCAAGTGGACAAAGTAGATGAAGCGGGAAAGCAGGGAACCCGCGGCGAGTCCCCGCGGCCGATCGGGGGAGACGTGGAGAACGGGATCGAGTGGTCGGAAATCTTTCGGTCGTCGTCTTAGAAGACGCGGTAGTACGAGGCGAAGAAGAGGAAGCACATGAACTCGAAGTGCTCCGCGTGCTGGTAGGAGCGCGGCGCGATGAGCCCGGGCCGACAGACGTCGGGAGGAGGTCACAGGCGACGCCCAGAGTCCAGCAGGAGGTGCCTGAGGAAGAATAGCATTGAGTTCCCATGCCCTCGGCCTCGGCCGCGATAGCCGGCGAGTGGTCCCGGGAGAGGCGGCCCCTGCCCCTCCCCCGAGAGCGTGCGGGAGTCCAACAGGTCGTTCTGGGCGGTGATGCTCACGTGGTCCGTGCCGACCTGGAGGACCTGCCCATGGAGGGCCGCGTAGACCTTCCGCACCCCGTCGGCGGAGCGGAGGTAGAGACGAGCGCGCCCTGGAGGAGCGGATACATCTCGGGACGACGGGTGTTGCCCTGGAGGCCTCGGCTCCAGAGTCAACCCGGCGGCGGAGCTCACATGGGTCATGAGTTTATCAAGCACCATGCCGCCAGCGTCCCTGGTCTCGCCTGAAGTGAAGACCTCCACGACGTGGTCCATCGAGTTGGAAGCTCGCACAGCGCGCCCCCGGCGGCGACGGGAGGCGGCAAGGGCGGGGGGCGTTGCTGAGGGGCTGACCCACTGCTGGCCTCCGAATCGACTGGCCTTCCACTTGATCTTGGTGATCGCATGCTCGACGTCCTCCAACAAAGACTGGTTCAACACTGTTGTCCATGACTCCACGGATGCCGACGAGAAGATGAGCCACCGGTCCGTGGACAGGAAGAGCGCCTGCGAACATAGAGGCCAGGCTCTGCGGAGGGCCATCGGGCCGTTGCATTCCAAGATAAGCGCGTCTGGGAAGGTGTAGAGGTCCCGGTGCCCGATGCGCATGGCCTGCGACAGCACACTCCGCCGCAAGAAGCGCATGGCCAAGGTAACGGTGGCGTCGGAGAGGGTGCCATGTAGCAGCAGTTCCACCTTGCTTGGACTCTCCGGGGTGTTGCCTGGGCTTCGCGTGGTGCCCCGAGAGATGATGGATATTGAGTAGTCCCGCGCCTCCGAGACGTGGGGCTTGTGCAAGAGGTCGAGGATCATGTCAGTGGGGAGGTCCACCCAGAGGGAGTTCACCACCGGCAGCGAAAAGAGCGGCGTGAGGGGTGTATGGACGGTGGCCGCGGAGCGGACGAGGCCGAAGGCGATGGTAATGCAGGCGAGGCCTTGACGCACATGACGAGGAGCCGAACGCCCAAGAAGAACGTACTCCACAGGCTGCAAGACCAGGTCGACATGCTTGACCAGCGAGGCGTGCTTTTCGCCTCGGAAAGGATGCCACCATAGGTCGAACAGCTTGCTTGGCGTGTCTACCCAGGGGAAGTGCGGGAGGGGGACCAGGAGTGAGAGACGCGCAGGGCGGAGTGAGTGATCTGACTGCCGAAGAAGACCCGCGAGGATCCGCTGCAGAACATTGGAATATGTCGGAGCCCAGGCCACGACTCGTTTGACTCCCATCTCACGCAGTGCCTGGCAATCGCCTTTCTCCAACAATGCCGCCAATCCACGATGAGTGGCGATCGTGTGGGTATGGTCGGTGCCAGCGTCTCCAAGCAGCTGCGACCACTGCGTGGCCAGCATGGCGTCCGCACAACCAGGAAGTCCCCATACTGCCTGCACTGCCGACTTGCCGAGCTCTTTCCAGCGAGGGAGAGGAGAGAGTCGGACACGGTGACGCTCGCGGAGGACGTCTGCCAACATCTCCTCGCAGCTCGCGCCAGCCTGCAAAAAGGTCGCAGAAGCAGCGGCTGCGCGGTCCTTCCCCTCCTGCTCCCATCTATCGGACTGCCCGAAGGAGCAGAGTGTGATCGCAGTCTTCGTGCGGAGGCAGACGTCCTGTTCTGGAGGCTTTGGGCCGTCCAATGGGCCGAAGCCCAAAACAGCCCATGGGTCGGAAGCCTGATGGTTGTAAGCCAACTTGGTAATAATGTAATCGATGTCTGTCCATGTTGGAGGTGTCGTGACCATCTGATTGCGAATCTCCGAAGGAAGAATGAGGCTGTGCGCCTGCACCAGCTCGAAGTATCGAAGCATCTCTTCTTCCACGTAGTCCTGAAATACGCCATCAAGAGCGCGAGCCGCGTCGCCTGCAACGGTGGCAGGCTGCAGTGGAAGTCCAGGCGACGGCGTAGCGGGCCCAGCGGCAGCAGCGGCGGCCTGGGTCCTAGCGATCTCGTCCTCGTCGATCTGGATGTCGTCCAGCTCGGCCATCGTCAGGGCCCCGCTGGAATCCACGGTAGCGCCCCCATGCAAGGCCACCATGCCCTGCATGGCGCCGGTCTCGTCGGTCGCGGTGTCCATGATGTCGTCCTCGGCAGCTCCGGCCAGGCCTGGCGGCGGGGCCGCAGCGGCCGTCGCCGATCCGCTGGCCATGGCGTGTGCCGCGCAGATCTCCTGACCTGGCAGGGCGGGGTCATCAAAGTCGCGGGCGACGCAGGCCCGGCAGCGCATTGCCATCGGAGGCGGAGATCTGGAGGCGGACGGCTGGAAGGTAGGAGGGGGAGGCGTGTGCCGCGGGCTCGGGCGCAGTCGAGGCTGGGCCCTTGAGCCAGCTCCCTTGAGCCATGTCTTGAGCCATGGGAGGGGCGCCGGATGCTGCCTTTGCTCGGTCGGGAGTTTTTGCTCAGCGTGTCGCTCCTCCGGTTTTGGTCCACCAAGCTTCGGCTCGACACGTTACAGGGCAGTTTTTAATACATGGGATTTTCATATATATATTATATATATATATATATATATATATATTATATATATAATATATATATATATATATATATATATATATATATGTATGTATATGTATATATATATATATATATATTTCAAAACATGATCAATGTATGAAAAATATGCATGAACCCACCGTTGTTTTTGATACTAAAACTCTGCATTTTTAATACATGGTCCGCACGCAGAGCATGTATTAAAAAACGGCACTGTATCCACGACCCCAATCCGAGCGTCACCGTCCCGAGCTTTTCCCAGCCTCCCGCCACACAGAGCAGAGCGACATGTCGCTAGCCGCTCGCAGGGCAAGACGTGCCGATGGGGCCGCCGCCGCGACACGCGAATTTCGCGCTGCATTCTTCCGACCGACCTTCAGCCCGACCCGCCGCCTCGTCCTGGAGGCGTCCAGGAGGGTGTCCTGGAGGGCGCCCTGGCGGGTGCCCTGGAGGTGTCTGGTGCCTCGAAGAGCGCCCCGGAAGTGTCCTGGCGCCCCCCCCCCCCCCAATGGTTGATTGCGCCCATCCGTGCGTCCGAGCGTCCGGCGCCTGCCCTCCCCCCCCACGGGCGCCTTCCCTGGAGGGTGCGCCCTGGAAGTGCCCTCGAAGTGGTCTGGAGGGCGTCCTGGATGGTGCCCGGGCGGGGGTTATGCCTGGCGGCTGTGCCTGGAGGGTGTCCCGGAGAGCGCCCTGGGTCGGTGCCTCTGCGTCCCCCTGGAGACGCACTCCGGCTCTGTCCGTCTGTCCGACCGTCTGGCGCCCCCCGCCCCCCCGCCTTGCGCTTCTGCTGGGAGGATACCTTTACGGGAACGAAGAGTGGCAGAAGCATGAAAGGTAAGTGGCGTAAACGTAGCAACTCGGAGGTCCGCGCAGATTTCTCGGATCCGCGCTGGACACCCCTGCGCCGGCTCGCTCCGCGCGCCAGGGAGGTGGGTCCAGCGCAGATCCGAGAAATCCGCGCGGACCTCAGAATTCTGCGTGGACCTTGGAATCATCGCGCGCGCTCCGCGCGCGCTCAAGTTCTAGCTAGGCTTGATGGGCGAACACATGGAATGTTATCCTTGTCGTTTCTTGCATTCAAGGACTCTCTTGGAGGCCATGCGCAAGCCTGGGAATCGTACAGAAGGGGAACTGCGGAAATGCAAAAACCAAATACCGCCGTTAGGTATTCAACGATTTGGGGCCCTTGAAAGCTTCCTGGGTTCTTTCCTGGGGCCTTCATTGTGGTCTGCTGTGCGAGAGTAGACATGGCGCGAACTTGGAAAAATAATGGAATGGTGTGACTTCCATTTTTTCGAATTGTAGTGCCAGGGCTGTGGGTTCGACGTTTTCTGCATGCAGGCCACGGTCTGTTGGGCTGCCTCTCGGGGTCTTCTTGCAAAACTCGGCAGGGGGTGAATTTGAAGAAAAGAAATCTAAAAGTCCACTGCTTCAACTCATGGGATCCCGGGATCTCGCTGTCTACAATGGTTTCAGGGGCAGTCAAGTGGACACGAAGATGATCCAAAAGAGTGCCAAGACAGCGTCAGAGAGTTCAACCGCATTCCCGAAACCCTTTTCCATGTGCCCCCGAAGTCTTGCTGGGGCTCGCGGAAGAGGATACGGAGTAGGAATCCCAACTTGAAAACGAAAGGGAATCTCTGGAATTCCCCTTTTTTTTCTTTTTCAAATTCCTGGGTCTTGGAGCGTTGGAAGCGGGAAAACGTGAGAAAACAAAACAAGTTGACAAAAAACACTGGGAAGCAACGATTTTCCCCTCTTCGGGCTCTTTCGGGACGGCTCTCGAAGCTCTCTTGGGCTGTTTTGGGGGCCTCGTCGGGGATTTTTTGGGAGCCTCTCATGGGTCTGGGGTGTGTTGGAAGCCTCTGGGGGGTCCCGGAGTCCTCTAAGAAGTCTCTGGCGGTTTCCTGCTCCCGCTCTTAGGCTCATTTTGGGCCTGTTCTGGGGTGGTCTGGAGCTGTCCTGGGCGCCTCTTCGGCAGTTTTTGGGCCGTCTTGGCCCGTCTTGGGGCCGTCTTGGGGGCCTCTTGGGCGGTCTTGGGGGCATCTCTGGCGGTCTTGGAGCGTTGGAGACATGAAATGGTCAGAAGGCCAAAAACCCTTCAAAAAACCAAAAGCATTAACGATTTTGGGTTCTCCGGGTGCTCTCGGGAGGCCTCTCGGAGCTCTCTGGAGGTCTCTTGGTGGCTTCCTGGGAGCCTGGAGAACCGTCCGAAAGTAATCCTGGATTGCTTGGGAGCGTCTTCGGCAATTCTTTTACGTTGTGGGGGCTTCTTGGGGTCGTCTGGGACTGTCTTCAGGCATTGTGTGGGATACCCGGGAGGCCGGGAAGAGCGGTACTGGGAGCGTACACGAGATGTTCCGGGAAGGTGTGGGACCCCAGGGAGGAAGGGGCGCGCAGTTGTTGAGTTTGAAAATTACTCACTGCGTAGAGCTCCCCATCATATACTATATTATATTATGTTATGATCTATTCTATTCTATTCTGTGCTACGCTATGCTATTCTATTCTATTCTATTCCATTCTATTCTATTCTATTCTATTCTATTCTATTCTATTCTATTCTATTCTATTCTATTCTATTCTATTCTATTCTGTTCTATTCTATTCTATTCTATTCTATTCTATTCTATTCTATTCTAATACATTTATTTCATAATGTGGTATTGTATTACGGATATTTTCGTGAGCGTCTAGCCATATGAGCCATATGTGAAGATCATATGGTGGAGTTGTGCTATGGTGAGCATCTGTCTATGACGTATTTGGTATAAGAGCGCGTTTACGTGAGCGACGAACACACGCGCGCGCAGCTCGGTTGCACATCCAACACATGTACATGTTCATCCGCAAGCATATTTCAGCGCATCTTCTTTGTCAACACAAAAGAATCATTGGCACTGCGTCCGAAGCACCGTGGCAGAGATCGTTCGCTTGCGCCGTCCACGCTAAGATGGGAACACCTAGCCGAAAAGCGCAATGATGAGTTCACGCGGAGTGCCGTCCGCACTTGACATCGGGCCGTGCTTGGCTGAGCGCCTAAGAGAATTGCGGGACGAGGCGGGAAAGTGAATGCGCTCGTCACTGGCCGTCCGCACTTGGAATCGGATCCAAACTCATCGACAAAACGGCCACAAACGGGACCGTGAAAACATTTCTGGCGGCTCCCCTTGGGGGTGCTGAAACCAGCGCCCCGCCTGAGACATCCTCAAACATCTGCTCTGACAGCCAAGAATGTTGAAACAGAAAACGAACACACCGCCTGAGACATCCATCCCCGCAACATTTTGCGAACGGGACCGTGAAAACACCCCTGGCGGCTCCCCTTGGGGGTGCTGAAATCAGCGCCCGGCCTGAGACATCCTCAAAATCTGCTCTGGCAGCCAAAAGTGTTGACACAGAAAGCAGGTAAACCACTTGAGACATCCCCACAGCATTGCTGCGAACGGGACCGTGAAAACACCCCTGGTGGCTCTCCTTGGGAGTGCTGAAACCAGCGCCCCGCCTGAGACATCCTCAGAATCTGCTCTGATAACCAAGGATGTTGAAACAGAAAACAGGCAAACCGCTTGAGCCATCCCAGCACAATTGCTGCGAACAGGACAATGAAAACACCCCTGGCGGCTCCCCTTGGGGGTGCTGAAACCAGAGCCCCGCCTGAGACATCCTCAACATCTGCTCTGACAGCCAAGAATGTTGAAACAGAGAACAAGCAAACCACCTGAGACATCCCCACAATATTGCTGCGAACGGGACCGTGGAAACACCCCTGGCGGCTCTCCTTGGGAGTGCTGAAACCATCGCCCCGCCTGATACATCCTGACAATCTGCTGTGTGTTGAATAAGTCAGACAATGAAAAGGTCTGAGTAGGTCTCAGTATGAGTAAGTCTGTGCATGAGTACGTCTGGGAACGAATCTGAACAAGAGGAAATCTTGGTATGAGTGAGTCTCACCATGAGTAAGTCCGAGTATGAGTGAGTCTAAGTATGAGTAGGTCTGAGTATTCGTCATTTTGTGTATGAGTACGTCTGGGTATGAGTGTATCTGAGCATGAGTAAGTCCAAGTGGGGGGAAACGAGCTGTACCGCAAAGAATGTACACGAGTACGAGTGAGAGTGGGTCTGACTATGACTGGGTATGGGTTTGAATGGGTGTGAGCTTGCTGTGTCATGAATAAGTCTGAGTACGATTAGGTCTGGGTGTGAGTAAATCTGTGTATGGGGTAGTCTGGGTGTGAGGATGAGGAGAGGAAGAGGAGGAAGGAGTAGGAGGCGTCCAAATAATAACAACAATCCCATCTTAGGATACGGAATAACACATAATATCTGCATTATATTTATATATATATATATATATATATATGTATATATGTATACATCAGTCTTGGAGCGTTGGAAGTCGCAAAACGTGAGAAGGCGAAACCAATCGACAAACAACCATTGGACATCAAAGTTTTTACCCTCTTCGGGCTCTCTCGGGACGGCTCTCGAAGCTTTCTTGGGCTGGTCGGGGATTTTTTGGGAGCCTCTCATGGGTCTGGGGTGTGTTGGAGGCCTCTGGGGGGTCCCGGAGGTCCTCTCGGAGGTCTCTTGCGGCCTCCTGCTCCCGCTCTTGGGCTCATCTTGGGCCTGTTCTGGGGTGGTCTGGAGCTGTCCTGGGCGCCTCTTCGGCAGTCTTGGAACCGTCTTGGCCCGTCTTGGGGGCCTCTGGAACGGTCTTGGGGGCCTCTCTGGCGGTCTTGGAGCGTTGGAGACATGAAATGGTGAGAAGGCCAAAAAACCCTTCAAACAACCAAGAACATGAACGATTTTGGGTTCTCCGGGTGCTCTCGGGAGGCCTCTCGGAGCTCTCTTGAGGTCTCTTGGTGGCTTCCTGGGAGCCTGGAGAGCCCTCCGAAAGTAATCCTGGGTTGCTTGGGAGCGTCTTCGGCAATTCTTTTACGTTGTGGGGGCTTCTTGGGGTCGTCTTGGACTGTCTTCGGGCATTGTGGGGGGCATTGTGGGGGCTCCCCGGGAGGCCGGGAAGCGCGGTACCGGGAGCGTACATCAGATGTGAGCGAGGTGGAGGACACCCTGGGAGGGGGCCCGTCGTTTTTTTTTTTTTTTTTTTTTTTTTTTTTTTTTTTTTTTTTTTTTTTTGTTTTTTTTGTATATATATATATTTATATATATTATATATAAAAATGTATTGGTTTTCGTGTTATATATATAGTGTGTGTGCGTGTGTGTGTGTGTGTGTGTGTGTGTATGTGTGTGTGTGTGTGTGTGCGTGCGTGCGTGCGTGCGTGCGTGCGTGCGTGCGTGCGTGCGTGCTTGCGTGCGTGCGGCTGTATGTAGACGCGTGTCTCATGTACGTGCCGTGCATGCGTTGCGCGTGGGTGAGGGGAGGAAGGAGGAGGGGAGGTGGGAGGTGAGGTGTGAGCTTCGCGGGTGCGACGCGGGTGGGAAGAAAACAATAATCCCACTAAGCATGAACAAACAACTGCATACAAATAAACTTTTTTAGCTCCGCGCGGACTTCTTGGATCTGCGCTGAGCCCCCCTGGCGGCGCACCAGGTGTCGCCCCTGGCGCGCTCCGCGCGCTAGGGAAGGGGGGCCAGCGCCGACCCAAGAGACCCGCGAGGAGCTCCAACAATCTATTCGCCTGTGCCGTCTCTTTCCCCTCCCGAGACGAGCCGCGGCCTGTCGCCCGCGCTGCAGTTCAGCAGCGCGGCGGCCAGGTCCACGGCGTCGGCGCCCCGCTGCTCGCCGACGTCCGGGCGGGGCGCCACGCCCGAGCCGCTGGCCTCGGGCGCCGGGTCCTGGCACCCGGCTTCCTCCAGGGGGCAGGCGGCGCAGGCCGCGCAGTCGCGGCTCACAGTGGCCAGGGCCGCCCTGCAGGAGCCTGGCCTGCCGAAGCGGCTCGCCAGGTACTGCACGCGGCTCCTGTTGGGCAGGGGCCGACCGTCCAGCCTACCACGACAGGTTCTTGTTGCAAGCGAGTGTTCTCAGAACGTGAAACCGAGGAGTGAAAACAAGACGGCCTCTCCGCCAAAACTGTTCTAGAAGCCGCTCGCGCAAGCCACAGGACCTTAGAGCATTCTTTGGCGGGCCTGTGGGCAAGCCGGGACACCTCTTCACTGCTTCAGACTCCTGCAAGAGGCGCGCCCCCAGGAGAACTCGCACACGGCGTCGCAGCCCGCCCCCCCCGCCGAGCGCGGCGGCGCCGGTGGCCACACCGAGGCGCTCGGCGGCTCCCCCTGCCAGGAGGCCTCTCAAGTGGGGTCCGCGTGGATGGGGTCGGTGGGCCGCGCCGCATCGCGGATGCATCGCTGGTGCGTCGGCGATGCATCGTCGACGTCGGCGATGCATCGGCGACGTCGGCGTGGAGAACATCGGGCTCCACATCGAGCCGCACCGCCGAGGTGCCGGCGATGCGGGGCGATCCTCCAGCCCCCTCTGCCCTCGGACCCCCGTCTGGGAGGCCCATGGCCTGCGCGGCCGCCCCGCCCAGGCGAGCGGCGCGCGCCGAGGCCCCGCGCGCGGGGCTGGCGGCGCTCGCGGCCGGCGGCGCCGGCGGCGCGCCCTGGGCGGCCGCGGCCCGCGGGGGCGGCGGCGGGAGCGCGGGGGCGGCCTCGGCCTGCAGGGCCTCCGACGGCGGGGGCGGCGGGGCAGCAAGGGCCTGCGGGGGGCGTGGGGGGGGGGGCAAGGCACGGGCGAAGGAGAGGGGCGCCACGGTCCCAGCTGATGGGCGAAGGGGGCTCCCCAGCGGCAGAGCCGGCCAGGGGTGGGGGTTCTGCCAGCCTGGTCCCCGAAGCCGCGAGGCACGCACGGTGGCGGCGATGAAAGCTGCCTCTGCCCTGGGCCGTCCCTGGGTGGTAAAGTTCGGTTTTGCTCAATATGGCTTCCCCATGGGCCAGGAGTGAAGGGAGGGGCGATGATGATGATGATGATGATGATGATGATGATGATGATGATGATGATGATGATGATGATGATGATGATGATGAGGAGGAGGAGGAGGAGGAGGAGGAGGAGGAGGAGGGGGAGGAGGAGGAGGAGGAGGAGAAAACACAAGCCGTCCCTTGTGATTGCCAAGCCCCTCGATGCGGCAGTGTGCACGGCCAGAACAAGAAAGACAAGACACGATACATAGAACAAATATATAAATAAAACAACAGAAAGAGAGAAGGAGTCAGAGATGCGTACCACTTTGGACGAGGCTTCGTCCATGCCCCAAAGCTCCAAGCGCCCTGCAGGCCTACCTCACAAGGTGGGAGGTACCGCTTACGAAACGTGGGTGGTGGTATGCCCCCCCTGTCGCTGCCTCAAGGGGGCCCCAGCTGGAAGGCAATGCGGGTATGCGGTGATCAGGCCGCTCAAAGGCCCGTCTGCACACCCGTGGCAGCAGCGCCGTTTTTACACGCGCGCTGGCATGCGCGATGTGGAGCTTGGGGCAGTGAACGGCACCACCTTGGGGCATTTCCCGCAGCGGCCAAGGGCCCCGAAAGACCTGTTGCAGGCTGCTCCTGGCCCTTTGATCTCGTTGGAACCTGCCGGGCAGCGGGCTGTCTGTCCCTGAATCTGGCGCAGGGAAGACGCCAGCTGGTTGGCTCGCTGACGGCGCGCATGGATGCCGGCGATGAGAATGGTTTCGCGGTCCTCTTGGTACTGACTGTTCGCCGCAATGATATGTTGCATGAGGGCTTGCCGACGGTCCAAACGTTGAGTGGCACAACTGGCGTGGTGGCCGTCATCCCTAACTTCACGCCCACCCTCGTCAGAACCATGGTGTGCCGAGTGGGGAGGCGGGGTGAGGTGGGGGTTCGGGGTAACCGCCCAACTCTGACTCTCATGGGCGGTCGTCGACTGACCGAGAGAATGAAGAAGAAAGATTATGACTTTGCGCGCAGGGGTTGTCCTCGATTGCGTTGTTTTCGCCCAGACAGTGACTCTGAGGAAGGAGGTCGTCTGCTCCGTCATCATTTAGCGGGGCCTCAAGCCCGACCAGGTCGAGGTCCTCCCCTTCGTAATCGTCTGGTGGTGGCGACCATGGGTCGTCGAGTTTGTCGAAGTGGTGTGGGCCTGGTGGGCCGCTCGGCGGAGGTGGTCCCCCTTGAGGACCTGTGTCCTGCCCCCCTGCACAACGGTGAGCGGGCTCGGTGTCATATTTGAGCTCGGACCTGGATATGCCCGGCTCTATTGTGAGGCACGGGGGGCCCCCGATGTCGCAAGTCGTATATGGTGACGGCGGTGCTACGGAGGACAGCAGCAAACTTGTGTCGTTATTTGGCAGCGTCGACCTGACCTTGTGGGACACTGGAGCCGCGCCCCGCGGTGGCGAGTTCATCAGCGTGTCGATAAGGCTTCAGCGATAGGAATGATGCGCCCTTCGTTGATGCCTTGACCTCCCAGATGACTTGCAACCTTCTGGACTTAAACAAATCAGGTTCAGCCAGAAGCGCTGGATGGATTTTCTGTCGTAGGCTCGCTTGGGGCCCCTTACGCTGTGGTGGTTCACCCATGAGAAGGCCTTCAAATCCGTCAACGACTGCCTGGTTGTCTACGAACACATGCACCAGTCGTTCAGCCGTGGCGACAAGGTGAAGCGTGGCGAGCGCTTCGGCTCGCTGCGCTGGCTGCGCCAAATCGCGCGCGCGGGGGCAGAATGGTTCAGCCGATGGCTCGGTCCATAACACGCGCCAAAACCCGATCTGGCCAGGGCGGGGTGGGCTTGGTGAGCGCAGGCGCCGTCCGTATCAGCAAAGACCAATCGGACTCCCTGGTCGTCGCTGTAGTCTTGATGCGGGCCCCCTTCTGAGTCCTCCAGCGGTGGTCTTAGGATGGGCTGCGGACGCTCGTCCTCGGCCAAGGCAGCCTGGATGTCAAGAAGGCCAGGGTCTTCTTCCAGCAGGCGGCAATGTTTGGGGTGCGGTAGGAGATCTTGCCATTGTTGCTCGGTGTTCATCGTTTTGAAGGCGGTCCTCTTGGTCTCCTAGCAAGGGCATCTCCGCGCTGCGTTCTCCCGTGTTTCCTCTTCTTGGCCGCGCCACCTGCGCGAGGGAGATGAGTCGGCCGAAATGTTGGCCTTAACTGTGCTTTGCTGGGTGTGGTCGCACCCGCATAGGTAGTTGCGTAGGAGGCCAAATTGCAAGGCGGTACAGTTGGCTTTGAGTTTGGTTCTGAGGAGTCGCGCATGGGCAGCGTAGTCAAGGCCTGCTTACCAGCGGCGACGGCGCCAAGGTCGTGCCTGGTGCTTGGGGCGCGGCGCAGGAATGCTCTCCGCTGTGCCGCCCGAGGCATGTGGGTGAAAAGCCCAGCGGGCAGCTGAATCCATGAAATGCGGGCGCCCCAGTCGTCGCACATAGTGACAAACCCGGGGGCTATGCCCAGTCGAGTTGGGCAATGGTTTGCCGCGCTCTGCCGACGGGGCCGCCGCCCTGGAAAGATTGTGCATGACTATGTAGCTCCTCGGCTTTGGCAGTGAGACTGGTTTCTCGCCGCGCTTGTCTCCTGAGCCCTATTGGCGCCTCTCTTGAGAGGTGGTGCCGAGTTCAATGGCGTGGGCCAGGGTTGCCAGGGCGTAGAGCGCCCATTGTGAGATCCAGGCTAGCCCTTTGGGTCGAATGGCGGCAAGCGCGGCGTTGTTGTACAGGTGTTTCACCCTGTCGCTAGGGGCTTGGATGTCCGTGCTGTGGTGCACGTGCTGGCCGCAAGGGACTGGGCAGCGGCGGCCGCGCGGGCTATGGAATGGGTGCCTCCAAGAAGGCGCCCCATGCGCGGGAGACTATCGCTCGCCCTTTTCGCTCTGGCATCTGCCGCGGCTTCGAGGTTCTCTTTGGGGGCCGTCGACCGCTGGCGCCAGGCTGATGGTGTGAGCCGCAAGCTTCACCCGGTGGTGGGCAGCGAGTGGGTGCTGGTTCAAGTGAAGAAAGGCCAACTGGCGGTGAAGCTCCTCGCCCGGGGTCCATCCCACGACGTAGCCAGTGTGCAGTTCATATCCCGACATCCTGCCAGGTGGAACTGTCTGGTCGCGTGGAATGTGCCTGTGTTGCCGCTGGGTCCAGACGCGCGTGATAAGTTCGATGCCGTCCAATGAGAATGAGCTACCTTGGGGGCGCCTGTTGGTGCGCTGCAGGGGCGGGGAAGAGGCTCCTCGCATGCGGGTCGGCCGGCTGTGGTTTACGTGAAATTGGCGCCTCACCTGCGCGATGTCCGCGCGTCAACCAGCCCGGGGCACGAGGTTTGCGCGGGCGTCGGGGACCAGGCAGTCGAAGCACCTGTCTGTCGAGAGCGGCGCCCGCCAGCGGCTGTGGGAGGTCCCGCGCGTGTCTGACCTGTGGGGCGAGCGTCTTGCTGACGTCGCCTGTGGTGGCGCGGGGTGCCGCCCCGTTGCTGGTGGCGGGTCTAGCGTGCTCTCCAGGGTGCCAGGCTGCGGTGAGCTGGTGCTCCCCACGCTTGCATCCAGTTTGACATCGCGGATAGGAGGCCTTGCTCCGTGGGGCGTTCACTCTTGCGTTTACGCATGCAAGCGTTAGGTATGTGGAGGATCGGTTCGGGCACTTTTCCTGTCCTTTACGCGGCGGGGAGCGCCGTGGCGACGAGGCGCAGGATTCCGTCCGGGAGCGTTCTGGCTTCTTGGGTGGCCCATGCGCCGAGGCCCCCAAATCTGGCGGCAAGTCTCGCCCCGATGACACGGGCGACATCTCCGTCCGTGAGAACGAAGAGCTGGGCCGGTGCGGCTCTCGGAGTTCCTGTTGGTATTCCGCTCTGAAGAGCCCCCGCGCAGGGGCGACCTCGTCGTTGCGGCCTCCCGTGGCGCGGTATTTGCCCAGGACGGGTCCCCGCGTGTCGATCATGGGTCTGATGATGTCGCGGGGGTCCGCAAGGATTCGGTCTGGCAGGCGACGCGAGCGGTGCAGTTTGGCTCGTGGAGGCCCTCGGGCCAGTGTTAAGGCTGGTTTGTTCCGACTGGGCCGCGTGGGTTCTTTGCCCGGGCTGGTGGCCTTGCTGGGCGAGGGTGGCCTCGGTGCTGGCTGCGCTGTTGACCGTTGTCTCGAGCCTTTCGGCAGTGTCGGTTGGCTTTTGTCGGTCGGCCTCCAGGCCGCGGAACTTCGAGTCCGCTGGGTCGGAGATGCCTAGAACACCTGGTTGTGGCAGTCACTTTTCGTCGGAGAGGTCATCATGGCTAATGTTCTCGTGCTGCTCTGGCACGAGCGCGGGTGGAGTCGTGGTGCCTTCGATTTCGGTGGCTTCCGTTGCCGTGTCGCAGTCTTCTGCGTCTCTTAGGGCGAGGGGGCTTTGGTCTCCTTCTTGGTGTTTTGCTGGCCCCTTGGCGCGACCCCCGCATGCTAGCGTCGCGCGGCTTTTTCACTGGCGGCGGGGTGATCGGCGGCACTTGGGTCCGGCTGTGGTTTCAGCAGCGCTTGGAGGTGCGGTCTGGTGGCCGCGGGGTCCTGTAGGGGCGGGGGTGGGGTTGCCCCTGCCCCCGCAATGGGTGACCCCGCGACGGGCTTCTCCGTCGCGATGGCCTTTGGCGAGACGATCGTTGCCGCCGGCCCATTCGGGGGGCCGGCTTTTGCGAGGTTGGGCGCCCCAACTTTTATGATGGTCCATGGAATGCTGGGGCATTGTGGTGGGCCATTGTGTTCGGGAGGGCGCTTGCCGCTTGAACTATGGCGAAATCGCTTCTGGTAGTACTGTCCCACGCTGTGTGTTGGACTTCATAGTGCCACTTGGTGGATGAGAGGGCAGTAGCAACTTGCGTCCTGGTGGCGCTTTGCGGTTCATGACCCGCGATGCGGTGCTGAGTGTAAGCGAGCGTGGGGTCAGTTCCCCGAAGTTCGAGGGCGACTTGCTTCGCGTCCTGGGTGACAGGCTTGACTCTGATGCCCACTCGTTTGTCCGCTCGGACAGCGCCGTGTCCTTTGTGCTTCATCGAGGTGGTGTTCGCCTCTTGCAGCATGGTCTGGTGATCTTCTGGGTGCCGCGCCTCCGTGTAATCACTGGGCGAAAGCTTTGTGGTGCCGTGGCAGCTGATGTCAAACGGGATGCCTCCTTGCACGATGGTCCAAAGCACCGTCGGGGCGCCGGCTGGCACCATGCCGAAAAAACGGCCGTGGGCCTCCGCTTTCCGACTGCTGTGCCGTGGCGGCCTGGGATCTTCATGGGTTATTGTATATTGGATGAGAATTTTGGGCGAAAGCGCGGCAGTGAAAGCGTCCGTGAGGTCGTTGTCAAGCAGTTTGCGGGAAGTGTTTTTTGTTGGCACTTGATGGCGCTCTTTCGCCTTCTGTTGCGCCGTGCCCTGTCCGCTTTGGAAGCGGTTTCTGTTGATGGGTGCAGCGCCCGAAAACTGTGCCCCGAACAGTTCCTCGAGCGTGGGTATGAACGCAATAGCGCCAGCATTGCAGATGGCGGCGCCGATCCAAGCTACATTGTCAGCTGGGTCGAGACTGTTCGTCCAGGCCGAGCTGGTCGATGGTCCCTTGAATGTGTCTTGGCGTGAGCTTGGTGCGCTTGGCCGTACAACGGAGGACTGGGATGAGGATCTCGCGTCCTGGGTAAGTGGTATTGCTAAGTTCCATAACTGCGAGCGCTAGAAGTTTGTCTTGTGATCGGATCTACAGTACCCTGTGGTCGGCTTCCACTAGCGCGCGGAATATCATGCTACTGCTGCACGACGTCCCGTCGTCTTCTTTCTCGGGTACGGTAGTTACGGGGACATGCCACGTCTGTACATACAGGCTGGTGTGAAGGGCCTTGTCGTTACCCTGGTGGGCTTCGGCGTCGAGTATAGTCCCTGGTGGGTCACGGTACGAAGCTTTGTTGTGCGTTAGGGAGTAGTGCAGCATGGTCTAGCTAATCTTGTTCCCCCGCTTAATCTCATTAGCTCGCCCCTGAGCCTTCGTTTCTCGGAGCGGTGCTGTTGGTAGATAGCGTCGAGATCGGTGTGGTGCTTGTGAGCCATTTCGTTGTACGCAGCGGCTGCTCTGTCGACGCCGCCACTGCTCTGGAATGCGGCGGCGCAGGCTTCCTTTTGGGACACGTTGCTTCCTGGTCAGGTAGCGTGTTGGCGGCCCTTACCCGGTGGCTTGGGTTGGCGTTGTGCAGGGGGCGCACGGCGGTGGCCTTTCGGAACAATGGCGCGCGCGGGACTGAAAGCACATGACGCCAATCTGTCACGGCCTGCAGGGGATCATGTCTGGTCTCGCGAGGCAAGAGTGGATGCGGGGCGCTTGGCGTCTGGGCTCGCTCTGAACAGAGCTTTCGAACCGACACTAGAGACAGTCAGAGAAAGAGAGGGAGAGAGAGAGAGAGAGAGAGAGAGAAAATGACAGCGAGAGAGACAGAGAAAGAGAGAGAGAGAGAGAGAAGGGCAGCGTCGGGAACGCGGGGGGAGAGGGGGGAAAGGTGACAGCGGCCTGCGTCGAGGGGCTGGCCCAGACCTCCGGCGCGGCGGCCAGGCATCCGTACTCGTACTGCCAGCAACAGTACGCTTGCTTCTTCGGCGGCCACAGCCGCTCCCAGTCGAGGAAGTCCTCCCTCCTCCCCCCAGGCCCAGGGGACGCGCATCGGCCTGCATTCGACGATGCATCGCCGATCGATCGACGATGCGCCTCCGACGACCGGGCGTTCCTGGACAAAATGTAGCACCCAAACCCCGATCGGATCGGAATGGGTGGTTAGGGGTTGAGTTTCTGGCCCCGGACCAAGCCCCCCCCTTTCGACGCCCCTGGCTCCCTCCGTCCTGCCCCCCTTCCTCCCGCCGTCTCTTGCCCCTCCTCCCTCCTCCCTTCTCCCTCCTCTCCGTTGCCCTTCCTCTCCTCCCCCGCCCCCGTCCTTCAGGCAGTCGTACGGCTGCGGCGTGGTGGTGGCGGCCTGCCCCGCGGCCTCCGCGCCCACGCCCGCGCCTCGGGTGCTGGGCGGCGGCGGCTGCTCCATCTGCCGCTCGGGCGCCAGGCCGGGCGCCGAGCCGGCGCCGCCCTCGGCGCCACGCGGCACCGCGGGCGGCTCGGGCGCGACTCCCCCGGGGAGCGGCCCGCCGCCGGCGGCCCAGGGAGTGCGGAGGCCGCGAGGGCGGAGGAGGCCCCGGGCGTGGAGCTCGTAGGCGGCGGCCAGCGAGCATGCCAGGACGACCACGGAGCCCAGGCAGAGCTTCCGAGCGATCGGAGGGCAGGTGTCCGCGGTGGCTGGCGCGTCCGCCGCCTCGAGGGTGTAGTTTCCGCCGCCGTGGGCTCCAGGGGCGTACGACGTCATGAGCTGGTACCCGCCCCTTCCAGGGTCACCCTTCGCGGCATTTTGCTGCACCCCCGCGCCGCTCCACTCATTGTCTTTTCTGGTGCACGTCCTGCTGCATCCTCCGCAGCTTAATTGACGGACCGCGGCCATCACCAGTCCGTGGCGCCAGGCCAGACCCGACCAGAGCCAAAGGCTGCGAATCTTTCAAATCGCACTCGAACGCACGTGCAGAAGCACAAACGGCGCCAGTGGGTTACAATCGAGGTAAAAGAAACAACAAAGGAGAGAGAGAGAGAGAGAGAGTCAAAGAGAAATAAATAAAGAGAGAGAGAGAGAGAGACACAGAGAGAAAGAGAAATAGAAAGAGAGAAAGAGATAATGAGAGAACAACGCACACAGATACGCGCGTACACACAAACAATTAATTCACGAGCGCGCACCCACGCACGCACGCACACACATACACACAGACACGCACACAGACACCCGCACACAGACACAGACACACAGACACAGACACAGACACAGGTCCAGAAACTGAGCCAGACACAAACACAGACACATACACACACGGACACAGACACAGACACAGGCACACACACACACACGCGCACTTTTAAGTCGGCGGCGCAGAGGAACCTCAGGCGCGGTTGGCAGATGGAGGTGCCAACTGCGAAAGAACGTAGTCGAACGCGCCGTGGTGAAAGGGTCCAGCCACGGCCGTGTATATTAGTGGTGGTGGTGAAAAGATGAGGCGCTGTAAAGCCAAAGTGCAGCGGCAAAGCATCCTGCGAAGCGTGACGCCAGGAGTTGAAGCGCAGGCAGCAGTCTGGTGCTAATTCGCCAGTTGAAAGAGAAGCATTGTAGAGCTGCCTGACCAGCCAGCAAGCGGCGGCACGAGACCGGCAAAGGCGAGGCAAACGCCGCCGCCAGGCAAGCAACGACCACGACAGAACGCCGTCCAGGTGCAAGTCGCGTGAAGAGAACCGCGCGATCGAGGTATAAGGCCAAGACAAACAATCAAGCTGACCGCGGTCGACCGCGACAGCCAACGCTTCACGCGGTTGCACAACCTGGTGGACGACACAGGCAAATCCATGGGTGGTGGACGGCGCGTGCGTGGCCAACTTGCAATGTGGGCGCCGCCGCTGAAGGCAAGGCCACCGCAATAAACGTAGCGTCAACCATGGATGGAAGCCAAAACAAAAGGCAAAGACCTGGACGATGTAACTGTACGGGCCACCTCAAGGTCGCACCACTCAGACCAAAGGCAATCAAGCGAAGAGAAACAGGAAGTCGAAACCGCCACCGGGCTGCGCCAACCGCCGGCACTCAAGCTGAAATGCAGCTGAAGCCAGTGAGAAGCAAAACTTCAAGAAGCCACGGCCATGCCAGCCAGCACCCAGTCCAAGGCGCAAGCAGCAAGGCATTAAGGCCACCGCTGGACGAGCTGCCAACGGAAGAAAGCGCCGACCACAGGCGGTGTCCGTGGACATTGCCACGCACACCCCTTGGAGCGCAAGAACGCCAGTGCCCTGGCCCCACGAGAGGTGCAAGGCCGCGCCAGGCCGCGCCTCCGAGACACCCCGGAAGGACAACAGGCGAGGCGACAAATAGGTCACCGCCTAAGGCGGTATGGCAGTAAGTACTGACCAATAGCGGGCAGGACGGCGCAGAAAAAGGTTGCGGCAAGCTACCTCAAGTCGAGGCCTGGGGAGCGCGACAAAAAGAGAAGTGGGCCGCGGCCGAGCCAGCCCATGCCCCGTACCGGGGCGCAGGCAGCAAGGCGGTAAGGCCGCCGTCAGGTCCGATGGACCGACGGAAAAAGGCGCTACAACACGTGCATGGAGCGCAAGGATCCAGAAATATGGCAAACACTTGGGCGGTGTAGACAGGGCAAGACACGGCCGCCTGAAGCGACGAGAGACAAAAACTGCAAGTTTCGCCAACCGCTTCGTGGGACAAGCCACATGGCAACTGGAAGCCGCGTAAAGAAAGCCCACAACACCAGCGGTCACCGCGCGGAGTAGGGAAAGGAGCGAAGATCAGCGAGCGGCAATGCCGCGACTACGCAAAAAGGGGGAGCTCCAGCGAGGATATGTAGTGGCGTGGAGAGAGAAATAGAGAGAAAGAGAGAGAGAGGGGGGGAAGGGGAAACACAGAAGAGAAAAGAGGAGCAGTGGCGCCGTTCGCATGCGGTCCTGCCGCCCATTCTGGCACGCCCCTTCGACACGTGCTGTGGCCCCGAAGGGAGCTCCACCCACGGTCCCCGTGGGGCAGCTTGCATGCGATCTTGTCACACATTCTGCGCAGACCTCACACGTTGCGTGACCCCAGAAGGGGGCCCCACCGAAGGTTCCAGTGGCGCGGTTCGCATGCGGTCTTGCCACCACTTTCGGCACACCCCTCACACGTTTCGCGGCTCCATCGGGAGGTCCACCGAAAGTCCTAGTGGCGCACTTCGCATGCGGTCCCGTCGCCAATTTCGGCACACCCCTCACACGTTTCGCGGCCCCAAGGATGCTCCACCTAAGGTCCAAGTGGCGCAGTTCGCATGCGGTCCCGTCGCCAATTTCGGCGCACCCCTCACACGTTTCGCGGCCCCAAGGAAGCTCCACCTAAGGTCCAAGTGGCGCAGTTCGCATGCGGTCCCGTCGCCAATTTCGGCGCACCCCTCACACGTTTCGCGGCCCCAAGGAAGCTCCACCTAAGGTCCAAGTGGCGCAATTCGCATGCAGTCCCGCCACACATGTCGGTACAGCCCTCACACGCTTCGTGGCCCATCGGGAACCCACCGACGGTCTCAGTGGCGCAATTCGCATGCGGTCCCGCCACTGATTTCGGCTCACCCCTCACACGCTTCGTGGTCCCATAGTGAGCTCCACCTAAGGTCTCAGTCGCGCAATTCGCATTCGCACCCGCCACTCATTTCGCTACAGCTTCACACGCTTCGTGACCCCGTGATGGGGGCTCCACTGAAGGTCCCAGCGGGCAACCCGCGTGCGTCCCCTCCACCAATTTCGGCACACCACTCACACGTTTCGTGGCCCATAAGGAGCTCCACCGAAAGCCATTCGTGGCTCCATAGGAAGCTCCACCGAAGGCCTCAGTGGCGCCGCCAACATGCGCCCCCACCATATATTTCAGCACGCCTCTTACATGTTGCGTGGCCCCGCACGGAGCTCCACTGAAGTCCCAGTGCCACTGCCCGCATGCGGCCCCGCCACCAATTTCGGTAAAATCTTCATACACTTCGCGGCCCCATAGAGAGCTCCACCGAAGGCCTGAGTGCCACCGTCCGCATCCGCCCCCGCCACCCATTTCGGCACACTGTTACACGTTTCGCAGCCTTATAAAATGGGCTCCACCGAAGGCCCCAGTGGCGCCGTTCGCATGCGTCTCCGCCGCCCGTATCGACACACCTCGCCCCCACGACGGCCCAAAGAGGGCTTCAAGAGGACGTCCTGCCTCGTTTTGAATTCGCAGCATCCCGCGTAACTTCCCACCTCCCTTTTTCACACGTGTCGTGGCCCCACAGGGGGTGCCACTGGAGGCCCCAAAGCCAGGGTTCGCATGCGGCTCCCTGCCCACCGCATGTCCATGTCGGCACGCCCCTCGCACGGGTCGTGGCCCCTACAGGGAGTTCCCCTCTCTCCGTATCCATTGCCTCGCGGTGCTCACGCAGGCATATGATTACGTTTGCGCAAGGATGCTGTTTTGTTGGGGCTTCACCGCCCGCGTAGGAAATCGACTTACAATTCGCCCACAAAGCCGAATCGAGTGTCAATTCCCGCAGGAAGAAGCCTGCAATACGTCCTCTACAGAAGGAGTGCATTCGTGAACCCGCCGCAGGAGGAGCTGAATGAGGAGGAGGATGAGTCTTCGGAGGGAGAGGATGCGGAGGACGAACGGGAGAGGGGGAGGAAGACGAGGAGGAGCAAGACAAGGAGGAGGACGGGGAGGATGAAAGAAACATGGGGAATGAACCTCTCTCTCTCTCTCTCTTTCTCTCTCCCTTCTCCGGCTACCAGCAAAGACTCAAAATCGCGGGGGTCCAAAACAGAACTGAAACTGTTTTCTCCTTCCTGTGCTTCGCTCCACGTGTCCGTATGCTCTTGCTGGTCTCTTCTGGGTGCTTGCAGTCTCACCTATGCGTTGTCAAACGTAGACTCAGCGCCATTAGCATAACGCCCCTGGGGACTCTAACGTAGCGCCGCCCCCCCCCAGCCCCCCCCCCACCACTGTACGCGGACCCAGACAAAACCTCGCCTCCCACGGGTGCCGCCGAATCTTGAGCCGTCGACACTGTCTGGGTCCCAGAGGGCTCCGGCGGAGCGCACAACGTCCCCCAACGCGGGCGGACCCAAAACAAACCGCGCCTCGCTGGACTCCGCCACTCGAGAAAAACTACCGCTCCTTCCTGGACCCGCGGGGGACCTAGCAGAGCGCCCGCCCACGCAGGCCCAGCCCGGACCTCGCCTCCCCTGGGAGCTGCGCACACGTATGGCTGTCGCCACTTCCTGGGCACTCGGGGGACCTAGCAGACCGACCCCGCGCCAAGAAGCGCGGAACAGCGTGTTAGGCAGGCGGGCCAGATAGAGCGCTTCTGCCTCAAGCACAGCAAGCATTACCACAGTGGCGTTCAAGACAACCGACACGACCGCTCGTGCAGCCCACTTGCTTTAAAATCTGGGCTGGCTTTCCAGAACACACCACGTCAGACACGGTGTCGTGAGCCTCGGACAACGAAATCCAAATCTTTTCTAAACTTCACCTCAAGCGTCAGACCTGCTCCCCCTCCCTTGTGGACATGCTTGAAGGAAGACCCCCATCGATCCCAAAGCAGAACCTCCCTCTGTCGCCGTCTGGCTGGCTTTAGGTCGGGTATGTCCCCCTAAAGGCGGATTTTGGAGGATAAGTGAACACTAGTCCAAACATGTCTAAACATTGCCACAAATTGTAGAAACATCGTCCCAATCCTATTTTCTTTGTTTTTTTAATTTTGAGAACTTCTCCTGTAGAGGGACATGCCCGACTTAAGGCTGGCTTGCGGAGCAAAGAGGCCGTCTCCCGCCGCCGCCGTGCATCCCCACCCCAGCGGTTGCTGCAGGCCAGGCCTCAGAAGCTCGGTCTTACACTGACGGGAGGCAGGTCGGCGGCGGCAGGGACGACGAGCGCAGCAACAGGAAGGACGCAGCGAGCCAAGCGAACGGGCTGGATCTTCCTCCCTCCTCCTCCTCTCCCCCCTCGATCGAGGAGGAGGAATCCCCCCGAGGACTCAGGGCCTCCTGAGGTTCACGGAAGCCCTGGAAATCAGCCCGGCCAAGCCCCCATCTGCAGGCGATACAATCAGAAACATCAGAAAACAACGCCAACCTGAAAGCTTCCGCAAGCCTCCAGAATCCGGAAAACGACAACACGCACAAGCTTAGACGGGAACGATGGGCGGGGGGGGGAGGGGGGCAACGCACATGGGGGGACGGTGGGAGGTGCAATAGTTCGCTTGCGCGAACTGTTGCTTGGGGGGCACGATCTATTGCGACCAAGCCGCAAGCTATTGCATCCATGCAACAACTACTGTCAATCCTGTTGCACCTGCTCCAGCCCCCCATCCGTGCTACCCCCACTACTCCAGTTTAGAGCAAGACGAAATACTGGCCATCGCTCGGACTTCCATTCCCTGTGTTTTTTTCGGTTTCGTGCGTGGTCTTTTCGCGAAACGATCAAGGATGCTCCTCGATGGCCGTCGCCGAGAAAAACATGCACACGTTCGAGCGATGCCAAGAATATAACATAACCTCGGCATGAAGCGAGCGGGTCCTGTGGGAAGCGGGCCCTGGACCCCGGCCCCCCCCCCAGGACCAAGTCTTCCTCCCGGGCCGCTTCCTGACAGCCGCGTGGCCCGCGGAGGGCCCAACTGGCCATCGCTCGGACGTCCATTCCCTGTGCTTTTTTCGGTTTCGTGCGTGGATTTTTCGCCAAATGATCAAGGATGCTCCTCGATGGTCCTCGCCGAAGGAAAAAGGCACACGTCCGAGCGATGCCAAGCCAAGGAAAGGGAAGCCAGCGCAAAACCTTGGGGCCCGTCTCCCTCGGGACCCGCCCCTGCGGCGAAAAACCTGGAGGCGGGGGCGGAGGAGCGCAGGCTGGGCGGGGGGCCGCAGAAGCCACAAGCGCGCCGTCGCCGCGACAGGGCCGCGGCGCGGGGCGGGCCCGGGCAGCCGCGGCTCGGCGAGTCCTCCTCGAAATCCTCCCTCCTCGCCCTTCTCTCTCCCTCCCTCCCTCCTCCCTCTTCTCCTGCCTCCTCTCCTCCTCCCTCCTCCCTCCCTCCCTCCTCCCTCCCTGCTTTTCCTCCTCCTCCTTCTCCTCTTCCTTGCCCTCCTCCCCCTCGTCCTCCTCCAACTCCTTCCTCCTCCCTCCCTCCCTCCTCCCTCCTCTCCTCCTCCTCCTCCTCCTCCTCCTCCTCCTCCTTCTCCTCTTCCTCCTCCTCCTCCTCGTCATATTCTTTTTCCTCCTCCTCCTCCTCCTCCTTCAGCATCCGCGGGGAGTACCATCATCCCCCGCCTGCTTTCTACGGCCGCCCTCTTCTTCCTTCCCTCTCTTGCTGCTGGTTAATCAATACGCCGCGCGTCCCTGGCTACTAGATCGCGCGAGTGGATCGCCTCTGCCGCGCTGCGACGTAAAAGGTAATCTCGATGGGGCGAGGTCCATCGAGGCCCCTTCAGTACGGTCTCGGCGGTGGTGCTGGCACGGAGCGCGTGATACCTGCTTTCTCGGGTTCCCAATCGCTGCCTCCTATGCCTTGGTTCCCGGAGGTGCGAGAGGAAGGGGTAGGAGTAGGAGGAGGAACAGGAGGACAAGGTAGAGTCTGTCGGGAAGGAGCGGGAGCAGGGGAAGAGAGGGGGGCGCATGATGCAAGAGGAAGGGGGAGGAAAACCGACGATAAGCGATGATGAAAAGGAGAAGCTGGAGGAACAACACGAGCAAGAATATGGAGGCAAGAGCAGGAACAGGAGGGCGGAGAGTGAGGAAAAATGGGGGACTACCAGGAGGAATGTCAGAAGGAGACGAAGGAGGAAGAGATGGAGGATAAGGAGGAACAAGGGCGAGGAGGAAGGAGGGGTGAGGGACGTAGAACACGAGGAGGTGGAGGAGGTCAAGGACGACGACGACAACGACGACGACGACGAGGTGAACCTCGACGACAGCGAAGACGACGAGGCGCCCAAACTGCTTCCCGTCCTCCTCCTCCTCCTCCTCCTCCTCCTCCACTTCTTCCTCCTCCTCCTCCTCCTCCTCCTCCTCCTCCTCCTCCTCCTCCTCCTCCTCCTCCTCCTCCTCCCCCTCCTCCTCGTCCTCCTCCTCCTCCTCCTCCTCCTCCTCCTCCTCCTCCACCTCCTTGCTGCCTCGCCATTCGTCCCCCATCCCCCCCGGAGGAGGACGAGACACAGGACGAGGGGAGGCCGCCGGGCCGGAGCGAGGGCGGCGCTCATATCTCGTCGTCGTCCATGCCGAACTTGGCGCCGCCCGGCGCCCCGATGAGCGGCGCCCCCTGTTGGGCGGCACGCAATCCTCCTCTTCCTGCTCCTCCTCCTCCGCCTCCTCCTCCTCCTCCTCGTCGTCCTCCTCCTCCTCTTCCTCCTCCTCCTCCTCCTCCTCCTCCTCCCTTAAGTCGGGCCTGTGCCTTTACAGGGTGAACATTCAAGAATAATCAAAACATAGTCCGGGGACTGTGTTTTTGGCATGTTTTCGGGCATCCTTCGCATATCTTTGGAGTATGTTTTGTTTCTCGTCGAAAATCCCCCCGCAGGGGGGCACGCCCGACTTAAGGGATGCCCGGGCCGGCGCTGGAGCTCCGTCGCCACGCCCCTCGCGGCGCTCCTCGCGCGATCCGCGCACGGGGGAAGGCCGGGGGGAGCGGCGCGGCTCCAGGCGTCCATCTCGGGCCGGCTTCTCGAGCTGCGTGTGGCCGCGGCCGAGAAAGGCCCACCAACCGGCGCAAAAGCGGGGCGAAGCACGCCAAGAAAAACGCGCAGTGCCAGGCCCCCCCCCCCCCTTCTTTAGGATTGCAATAATTACTCCGACGGTAGGACCCTGGATGATGATCTTTTTCGATTGCCCTTCGCTCTTTCCTCTTCGCCCTGGCTGAGGCACCCCGTCCCGCCTTTGTTGCGCCTCCGCCTCATCCTCCTTGTCCTCCTCGTCCTCCGTTACCTCGTCCTGCTCGCCCTCCTCGTTTCATTTCTCTTCCTCCTGTTCGTCCTTTTCCTCATTCTCCTCGTCCTCCTTCTCCTCCTCATCCACCTCCTCCTCCTTCCCCCCTCCTCATCTCCATCCCGCTTGTTCTTCTTTCCATCTCTTCGCGCATGCACAGGCACGTGATCCATCCACTCGTGGGCGAGCAACTGCGTGTAGGTCCCTGTTCTTCTCGGATCCAGGTGGCCGGCGACGCCGTAGCGCCACAGGCTGGGGCGCGCCTGCGTCCACACCCCAGTCGAACAGCGACAGGGGCGCAGTGCCGCGCGGCAACTCGAGGTTCGCCATGGTCGCCTCAATCCCCGCGTGTCGGGGCCCCAGCCTAGCGCGGGGAACGCGAGATCTGGGCGCGACAACTGGACAGCGCGGTTCCGAACGGCCTCGCAGAGCTGCAAGACGTGCTCCCCGCCCGCCTCGTCCAGCAGCGCGCTGCCCGATTCGACGGCGTGCTCTGTGCCTCATTGACCACGGAGCGCTGCGCGGTCGCGCCCGATTCCTCCAGCTGTTCAGTGCCGTCACCTCCAAGGCCCCCTCCGAGGCGGCCGCGCCTGGGATGGCCTCCTCGGTGAACGCGCTCACGTACCGGGAGTCATTGCACGCGTGAACGTCTGTGTCTTCCATATCCTGCGCCCCGGCCACCGTTGCGTCGGCTAGGCCCGCGGCCGCGACGTCGCTGGGCGAATCCCCCACCGGCGCGGCCACGACGCTATCCAACACCATGGGGGGCACCTCACCTAAGGAATCAGCGGGTCTGGGGACCACTGGGCCACCAGCGCCTCGTCGTGCGTCTTGTCCTTGTAAACGACGTTCGTGGCCTGCAGCGCCTGCGCCTGCGAGTCGAACTCTGCGCGGTTGACCTCGAGGCGCGCGATGCCCCAGAAGCGCGCTGGGCGCGCTGGGCGGCGTCCTGCTGTCTGGCAGAGTCGCCGGCCAGCCCCTCGCGGCGCCGCTGTCCCATTGCATCTTCCGGAGGGCCTGGCGGCTGCTCCTTCGCCGCGCCCTGCTGGGCAGCCATGGAAGTCACGGCGAACGCGTTCTTCGCGGAAGCTGGGGGGAACCGCTCCGTTGCCTACTAGCGCGGCGCGTTCCCGAACAGGAAGGATTGCGGAGCCCGCCGCGCCCGTCTTGTGGAACAAAAAGTCCCACGTGAGCCCGTCGCCGCTGCGCTGCTTGTCGTGGCTCTCGGGGCGTAGCACCACCTTGGTCGTCGCGACGCGTGCGAGTGCGAGGGGCATCTGGCGCGACAAGTTGGCGCTGCGGAAGAGCAGGTCATTCCTGTCAAGGCACAGGTGTGTAGCGAAGGTGAAGTTGCACATGCGCGGGTGGCGGAGAGAGAACGCGCCCGGGCAATCCTCGCCCACCGGGGACCGCCCCTCGCCCAATGCCCGCGCATCTGTCGCTCGCCGCTCATGCGCGAGGACAGGTTGGAATGTGCCCGCATTCCCAATGCGCAGCCGCAATGCAGAACGCGGCGCTCAGCCTCGGGGATGTCTGGCCAGTGCTTGTGGTAGACCTCCCAAGCGAGCAGCTTGGCCACGGCCTCGGGGTTCTTCATGAAGCAATCTCTACCTGCCAGGTGCTCCCAGGAAAAGGTCTTCGGGCCAGTGTAGCCTGGCGCAGCAGACGCGCGCTCAGTGCGCCCGAGGCGTCCAGCGGTCAGCTGCAGGCGACACCTCGGGAGTCCGAGCGAGCTCGCGCGCGCGCTCAGTCGGGTTCTCCCAGTCCAAGGCGGCCCGGGCGTAGAACTCTGCGTAGTTGGCCACGATCGTGCATAATCTGCCCCCCTTGACCGCGTAAGGCTTCAGCGACAGCGGCGAGAAGAGGGCGTCGCGGTGGCGCTGAACGCCGCCGTGCTCGTCTACTTGTTTCCTGTTTTTTCTCCAATCCTCGCGGGGAACAAGTTCTCGGCCCCAGCAGAGCAGGCGCGGCTGAGGGCCCGTCGGCGCGGCCCTATGCGACCAGGAGGGACACTTCACATCGGCGTTGTTGCGTCGCAGATCCCAGTCATCGACGCGCCGCTTGACTGGGTCGTCCACGCTGTTCTCTGCGTCTGCCCGGGTATGGTTTCTGTTGTCCGCGGGAGTTGAGGCTTTCCAGGCGGCCCTTGCAGCTGGGTGCACTCTGGCGGTGCCCTTCTGCTGGCCGCTACGGTCCCTGCTAGTCTGGTCCTTCCCACTCTGGTCTCTACCAGACTGGTCTCGGTCTCTACCAGACCGGTCTCTGCCGCCCTGGTCCCTGCCACTCCGGCTCTGACTGGCGGCTGAGTCTGCGGCCTGGGGCAAGCCGCGGCTGCCGCTGCCCGATCCTCGAGCCGCGCCAGACGCGCTGCCACTCGACGCCGCAGGTCCCAGTCGCGGCAACTTAGCAGTGGTTGCCAGCGTCGTCGAGCCCACAAGGGTTGCGCCGCTTCCCGCCCATCGAAATCGACCGTCTGGGCCGCGCGCGGGCGAGGAAGACCAAGTGCGGGTACGCCTCTGGTAAATCATGCAGCTCCGTCACGACGGCATCGTCGAGCTCGCACCAGCGCCCTCCCTGTTGACGTAGGCGACGTAGGTGGCCGCCGTGCACCCGCTGCAGAGCTGGCGCGCCGGGCGCGGCGCGGTGCTGCGCGCGAGCCGCCGCCTCGTAGGAAACGGCGTCGCCGTCAAGAATGCTGACGGGGAAGACGGCGTCCCGCCAGTCCGCCCGCGCGTCCACGGCGAACTGGTTGCCAGTCTGTTCGTGCGTGCTCTCCACGCTGATAACAAGTGCTTCCGAAGCATCTCGGATAGTCAGCTCACCCGTGAGGGGCGCCTGGATCATGGCGGCCATGGAGACGGGCGGCGCGTCGCGACCCACCTGGGCCTCCCCGGCCGCGCAGCAGTGCAACCTGCCCTCGACGCTCGTGGCCGCGCCGTCCCCGCGGGCGCGGCGCCGCGCGCCTCCGTGGTCCGCGTGCTCGAGGATGCGCATGGGGCTCTCCGCCGCGCCCTGCTGTCGACCAGGCTGGAAGCCCGCAGCAAGCTGCTGCAATACCTGCCGGACGAAGGCCACCAACGGCGGGCGAATGTCGGTGGCCGCGAATGCGGAGGAGCTGCGCGCACATGACGAATCCCACAGGCGGTGCCGCATGTTGCTGGCGCCCGGCTGCGCGCCCTCGACGTCGCTGCGGAAGGTGCGTCTGGTGCGAGCACTGCACCGCGGCATTGATGTAGCACGTGTTCGACGCGTTGGGGAAGCCGGCGGCGCCCGCGCGGCCGCCCCGAGGCGCTGGCGCGGCTGCGCCTGGCGCGGCCGCTCTGGCGAACCGCGTGCCGGGCTGAGCGAGCAGGCCGCGCAGCGGCTGCTGCCGGTCGTCGTCGCGGAGCAGGGCGAGGAGGTGCTGCTCGCGAGTGCCTGGGTTGTGCCACTCAAGGTGCAGCCGCGCCTGCAGCCCGGCCCCGGCTCGCGCCGCCCCAGCCCTGGATTCCACCTGCGGTGCTTCCGCGTCAACTCCTGCAGGCATGAAAACCCACCGCCAGGAGCTGCTGCTCGAGGGGGGCGCTGCGGCGGGGCGCTCCACCCAATCCGCCGCGCTGAAGAGGCCTGGGCCAATGAGGAGGGGCCGGTGCGCCAACGGAGCATGCTCGGCTGTCTGGAGCTCGCCGCGCCTATGCAACCTCGAGACGTAATTTGATTGTGCTCTGCAGAGCTCTTCTTCATCGGGATGTGCTCTCCGTTGCGTTGGCGCCGAGCCTCGTCGCGGACGCGCTCGTGCAGCTCTCGCGCAGCCATCCGTGGCGCCGCTGCCGAGAGGCGCCCCTCCTCCTGCGGGCGCAGCTCCAGCCCCCGTGCGAAACCAGGGGCGGCTCCCGCGGGAAACTGCAGGAAAGCAAGCCTCGCGAAATCGTCGACCAACGGGGGCTCCCAAGGGCTCTTGCGGCACGACCTTGCCGAGGCCTCTGGTGTTGCAGGCGCCGAGCACGCGTGCTCGCGCTCCGAGGGGCCGCCGGTGGTCCGCACGGGCGTCGCCCCGAGCCCGTCGTCGAGCAGGCGAGGCCTCTGCGCCGGGGTCTCTGCGAGGCCGAGGGGCAGCGGGGGGCGCCCTGGCCGCTGCCGCAGCCGCCGGGATGTCCAGTCGAGCAAGCCGTCGGGATATGCCCTCGAGCTTTTGGCGTCGACTGGCCAAGCCCAGACCTGCTCGTCGACGGCGGTGCAGAGGCAGCGGCCCCGTCGCCCATCTCGGCCAAGCGCCTCTGCCCTGCTGGCGTCGTCGAGGCGCGCCGATGCCGCCGGGCCGGGGGGGCCGTCGACCAGGGCGTCCAACTCTGACAAGGCAGCGGCCACTCTCGGGTGCTCGGGCGCGGCGCCCCCGCGGCGCGCGTGCCAATTGTGAGTCCGGGGTTCGCCGGGCCCAGCTCGCGTCAGGAATCTGGCCTTCAAGCCGGGGCCGCTCCAGAGTCTCGGCGCCGTCACATTGACATCCGGCCGCCGGCGACGCGCCGCTGCGTCGGCGAGGAGGGCGGCTTCGGTCTTCTTGGGGGGCGCGTTGATCCGCCGCGATGTCTCGCGAAGACGCGACAGAGCCGCAAATGCTGCAGTCTCTCGCGGCATGGCGATGACGCCGCAGTGTTGTTTTTTCTGGAGAGACAGGTGAATGCGTGGCGATGAGTGCGCTGCCAGATGTGCGATTGCGCGAGTGCGCGAAGATGCGGATGGCGAGGAATGCGACAATGATGGCGATAGTGACAGCGATGGCCCCACCAGAAGCGTCCGACATCCTTCGCAGCTTTTGAGGAGAGCCCAAAGTGACGGCCGCGAGGTTCTGGTCTGCGACCCAGGCAGGCACGGTCGCGGGATCAACTGGCCGAGGCACAGGGGTGGGATGGTTGCCCAGAAGGCACGGCCCGCGAAAATCCGGAGCGCGACGAGGGGGAAGGCCATGCGGGGGCGCGTCCGAGCGGATGCGCGCCAAGGCAAGATTCAGTGAAATCGCCATGGCGGCGCCAGTGTGCGCGTGCCTGTTCCTCCCTCTCCGCCGCCTGCCCATCGCCGTCCTCGTCCACCCGCTCCTCCCCCGAGCCTCGCCGAGCTGCGCGCGGGCGCTCCATTTCTTCGCCGGCTCGGACGCTGTGGCCCGCTCCGTCTGCCCCCGTCCACCGCGGGCGCCGGTTGCGAGATGCCGTCGGGGCAGCCCGTCGGGCTCCGGGCGGGGCGGGGGCCAGACGGCGCAGCGCGTGGGCGGCGACGCCACATAAAGTACACATTACATATTCAATCGAGACGGGGGGCGACGGGCTTGCCGCGCCATCGGCTGCGACGCGCGAGGGCTAGCCGCCGCCGTTGCGGCGATCCTTAGGGCTGCTGCGCGCGCGGCAGACAAGCGTTTCAGTCGAGCTCGCCTCCGAGAGCGAAGCCGCGCCGCTGCGCCCGGGCGTCAGCAAAGGCAGCATTTTCGGCGATGTGCGTCGACGCGCGGACGGTCTCCGCTGGAGCTGCGGGACAAGCTGTGGCCCGCGTGGCCTTCGCGGCGAAGAGCTCCGAAGACCCGTGGCGCTGCGGCGCAGTCGCCAGCGTGATCGCGACCGCTGCGCCGACGGGGCAGGCGGCCGAGATAGCGCGCCATAACGCGCGCCGGATATTGTGGTGCCCCTGCTTGACCACCGCGTTGCGGATGCCGTTGAACTCTCGGTCCCAGAAGTGTATTGCGTCTGGCTGATGCGAGACGACGCCCGCCGCGCGCGCTTGGGTGACCTCGGCCAGCCTCCTGCTCAAGTTGGCAACCGCGCCCAGGTCAGCAATCTCCGCGAACGGGTGATGCAGGGGGATGTCTGTCCAAGGACTCTCGGCGCGCTGCTGGATGGTCGCGTTGACTCCGAGCGGGGCCTGGGCGCCAGGTGGTGCGACAGTCGAGATGTAGAAACCATGGCAAGGGCTTCTTGTTCAAGAAGATCCCAGCGGAGATGCCGTGGACTTTGCCTAGCTCCGGCGCGGCGGACTTGAGCGGCAGAGTCTTGCGATGTGGTATCCTCTGCGTCGGGAAACGAGGCGTCTCCCATTGCGTCGCCGTCGAGGAGGTGCACCTCGGTCACTGCGTTGGTCCATGGCGTTCGACGGACTTCGTCGCGCTGGGTGACGACGCGCCCGCAGACGCAGGTGCCGCGGGCGCCGGGAAACTCCCGCGGAGACAAGGCGAGTTGACCGTGGAACGTCTGCCGCCTCAAGAACTGACCGCGCGGCGCCGCAGGCCCAAAAACTCGCGCGCTTCCTGAGAGGCGCGAGTCCTGCTCGAAACGAGCAAAACTGACTGCGGTGGCGCGGTCACCTCCAGGGGGGGGGGCATGCTGGCAAGGGGTGTGCATGTGGAGCTCCGCGGGCCCAATCGGGGGCCGATTGCAGCCGGTGAAAAAGTTTCGCGTCGCTGGTCGGTGGGCCGATCAGAACCGATCAGGCAGCTCGAGCCGCAGCGCCTGGGCGTGACCAGCACCGACTAACAGCAGAGCCTCGCCCTCGACGTCGCGAGGGCGAACAAGAGGACGGGCATCTGGAGGTGGCGACGAGCAGGGGGCCAGGGCGAGGGAGTGGAGGATGCCGCGCAGCCCCTGGTCGTTTTGTCATGCAGACGCACGCCGGGTAGCTCCTCCGCATGCCTCCACCCATCGCGGGCGCAGGGCGCGGGATGCCGTCGACCCATCAAGCCAGCGCAAGAAAGCGCTCGGGCGGCGACGAGAACGAAAGGCTGGCTGCCAAATCGATGCTGTCGGGGCAACCCCTCAAGCGAGACTGGAGGCCGCGTGCAGCGTGGCGCGGAGGCCTTCGCGAAAAGGCCCCGCGCCGGCAATCCGAATGTGAACCGTGAAAGCGCGGGCTCGCGCGATCGTCGCGCTTAGCCCCAGGAGGCCCGTCTTGGCCTCAGATCATAAGAACGCCCCCAGCGGCGACTCTGAGAACCCATTTGAAAAACGTATCGTGTTAAACACCCCCCGAAAGCCCCTGGAGGTCGTTCGCGCGAGCTGTTACTATTATTGGCTCGGGACTAAGCCGCTGCATTTATCTATTATGCGATGACGGACTGTCGTGGCCATCCTATGCCGTTCGCATTCCTCCCAATACCCGTGGAACCCTCCCCCCCTAAACACTCCCATTCCACTCCGCCCCTCTGCAGCCCTCCCGGCCTCCGGAGCCCTCGTTGGTTGTCCTCGTCGTCGTCGTCGCCGCCGCCGTCGTCCTCGTCGCCGTCGGCGCGGTCGTCGTCCTCGTCGACGTCGTCGTCGTCGTCGTCGTCGTCGTCGTCGTCGTCATCGCCGTCGCCGTTGCCGTCGTCGTCATCGTCGTCGCCGTCGTCATCGCCGCCGTCGTCGCCGTCGTCGTCATCGCCGTCACCGTCGTCATCGCCGCCGTCGTCGTCGTCGTCGTCGCCGCCGCCGCCGTCGTCGTCGTCGTCGTCGTCGTCGTCGTCGTCGTCGTCGTCGTCGTCGTCGTCGTCGTCGTTGTCCTCGTCGACGTCGCTCGTCGTCGTCGTCGTCGTCGTCGTCGTTGTCGTCATCGTCGTCGTTGCCACCGCCGCCGCCGCCGCCGCCGTCGCCGCAGTCGTCGTCGTCGTCGTCGTCGTCGTCGTCGTCGTCGTCGTCGTCGTCGTCGTCGTCGCTCTTCGCTCATCGCTCGTCGTCCGCGGCCTCCACCGTCGTCATCGGTGCTGTCGCTTCCGAGCCAGCCAATCCCTGAAGGGGCACCCGCAGAATCGCTACAGGGCGATATCACAATTCTGAACCAGCGCGCTGGCGTTCGGAGGTGATCACGTCTTCAGAAGCTGTGGGGGCTTTGGCGTTCAAAGCATGAATGCATACGCGAGCGTGGTAGGACATCGAGCGTAAATTTGGCCCTGGCGTGATTTTCCGTGCCGCGGAGGAAGCCTCCGGGGCCGACCCCTCAAAAATTTGCGTCAGTGGCCCGTCACCCACGTGCACGCAGGGCAGTTTTTGTGGAGGGCCTTGTTTCGAGAGCGGATAGGTCACCACCCGCGCCCCGGACGCAAAAGTTTCCCCCTGCGCCCGATTCGGCCGCCGTTCGGTTACAACCAGCGACCCTGACGGAAGGGTTCTCCATCCGATCGATTCGGCTGACGATGGGTTACCACCGCCAGCCCGGACGCAATGGTTTCCCTGGGCGCCCGATTCGGCTGACGATGGGTTCCCTGAGCCAGCCCCGACGCAAGGGTTCCCCCCTTCGCCCGATTCGGATGACGATGGGTTACCACCGCCAGCCTGGACGCAAGGGCTTCCCCCTGCGCCCGATTCGGATGACGATGGGTTACCACCGCCAGCCTGGACGCAAGGGCTTCCCCCTGCGCCCGATTCGGCTAACGATGGGTTGTCACCGCCAGCCTGGAGACAAGGTTTTCCCGTGCCACCGATTCGGCCGAGGATGGGTTACCACCCACTGCCCCGACGCAAGGGTTTCCCCCTGCGCCCGATTCGGCGGACCATGGGTTACCACCGCCAGCCTGGAAACAAGGGTTACCCCCTGCGGCCGCTTCGGTCGAGGATGGGTTACCACCCCCGGCTGGGACGCAAGGGTTTCCCTTGCGCCCGGCCGCCGTCGTCCTCCTCAGCTCCTGTTCCTCCGTTTCCTCCTCATCTGATGCGTCGAGCGAGTGGCCTTCATAAGAGCACACAAGTGACCTCGCTCGGATTGGCCCGCGAGGGCTCGCATCACTCTTCTTTCCGGAGGAGCCTAAAAATGACGACAGCTACGAGATCCCGAAAACTCGCTCGGATTCTGACCTGGAGCTGCGGGCCCCATAAGGAGGGGGCTCCCGCTCGAGACGTCCTTGCAATTCACTCACGGACGAGGCTCCCGCCTGAGATCCTCGAGATTTTGCGGAACAACAGAAGTTGGCGAAAGGTACATGTGTCGCCTGACACGCTCGGATTGCAAACATGAGCTGCGGGCCCCATAGGAAGGGGGCTCCCGCCTGAGACTTCCTCGCTATCTAACTCGCAGACGAAGCTTCCGCCTGAGACTTCCTCAGGATTCGGCCTGAAGAACCCAAAAATGAGGACAGCTACAAGTTTCGCATGACCCGCTCGGGTTACCAACGTGAAGTGTGGGCCCCATAAGTTGAGGGCTCCCGCCTGAGACTTCCTCGCGCTTCACTCACACACGAGGCTCCCGCCTGAGACTTCCTCCATATTCAAGCCTGAGGAGCCCCAAAATGACGCAAGTTAGAAGTTTCGCATGACCCGCTCGGATCAGAAACGCAAGCTGCGGGCCCCATGAGGAAGAGGGCTCCCGCCTGAGACTTCCTTGCAATTCGCTCACAGACGAGGCTCCCTCTTGGTCGATGATCGTGATGGGACGGTGATAGGGATGGCGATGATGGTGTGCGATGATGGTGGTGATGACTATGACAATGATGCCTGGTGGTCATGATGGGATCATGACATGATTATGAGTTAATGGAATGATGATGGCGATGGTGATGGTTGATGCTCCTCATGGAGCCCTACCTTGGAGATAATTTATTTCCCTGTGACCTCCGCGATGCCAACTTGCCTCATGATGGTGTGACGATGGTATGATGATGACGATAATGATGATGATTGTGTGGTGATGATGACACTGATGGTATTGGTGAATGTGGGAACACGGTGGTGCGATGATGGTAATGGTTGTGATGATAAGGAGGATGCGTGTGTGAGGATGACTGCGTGCGTGCGTGGTGATCGTGATGATGATGATGATGGTGGTGGTGATGATGATGATGATGATGATGATGATAATGATGTGTCTTGTGTGTGTGTGTGTGTGTGAATGGGTGTGGTTGTGATGAAGGTGATGCTGACCACGATGATGATAAATATGCTGATGCTGATGATGATGATGATGATGATGATGATGATGATGATGATGATGATGATGATGATGACGGTGGTGATGATGATGATGATGATGAGGAAGACCAGGGGGACGAGGAGATCCTGCGCAGGGTGTCCGCAGAAAAAAGAAGCCCACCTAGAATGTGGGGAGCAGTATCAATCAATCACATGCGGGCGAGGGGGACCCATCACCATGCTTGGAGGCCTCCCAGATGGGGTCGGAGTGCATTGGGTCGGAGGATCGTAGGATCGCGCGGCATCGCCGATGCACCGGCACTACACTGGCGACGTCGGCGGTGCATCGGCGACGCCAGCGCGGAGAAAATCGGGCTCCACACCGAGCCGCATTGCCGTTGCATCGGCGATGCGGCGCGATCGTTCGACCCCATCTACTCCGACCTAATCTGAGCGGCCTAGAACGCCTTCGGGCAACAAAAACAAAGAGCAACACGCCGACGGGCTCCAAACGGCGGCGTGTCGTAGGTACTCGTTTGCCCTTCCGTCGTCTGCGTGCCGCCGACCTGCGCCATGGCGCCGAACCCGGTCGGGTACGGCTCGAAGGGCGCGCTGCCGCCGGGCACCGGGGCCCCGAAGCCTGGCATGCCGTGGCCGTGGCCCACCTGGGAAGGCGCCGACTGACCCGATGTGTCTGCACGCTCTTGGGTCTTTTTTGGATGGCCTCTTGGGGCACCCTCATGGCCCCTTCTCTTGGGCGCTCTTGGGCCCGACCTGGGGTGTCTGGGGCGCTCTTGGAGTCTCCTCCTCCTCCTCGTCCTCCTCCTCGTCGTGCTCCTCCTCTTCGTCGGTCGGTCGGACTCTCAAGACGTTCGGGTTCGCCGCCCATCCTAGCAAAAAATAATAGGGCAAGTGGGACGGGGGAAAGCAAATTAGTGCGTGGGAGCTGCAGACCCCGACCCCCCCGCGGTGGCCGTGTCCAGGAAAGGGGTCAATCGGCCGAAGAAGACCGACACATCAGGGTCAAGTCTCCCCTGTCCTGACATTGATAAGAAACGACGACGGAGGCGATGCCAGCAGCGCTTGTCGTCTCCTCCTCCTCCTCCTCCTCAGTTGGCGTTGGAGGCTCAGGCACTTTGAGATCCGAGGGAGAGATGAGTTGTTGAAAACCTCTCACACGACGACCGCCCCGCAATCGCACTGGCCAGAAAGGGAGCTGGGGGGGCATGGCATGTGGATGGCGATTGCAGCGCTCTCGTTCTGGGCACTGATGAAGCTGGTACTTTACAGTCCTCTTGCGGCGAATACCACGGACAGGATGGAAGAAATAAGCAGTGAACTACGAAAGTGGGATGTGATTGTACTAACAGGGACTCATCAATGGGCTGGGCCAGAGCCGATGAAGAAGACGGGCCACAAATATCATACGGCACGGCAGTTCGGGGCAAAGAAGGGAACGTTGATCAACAAGTCATGTGGTACGACGTTCCTGGTTTCCAGCGAGATGATGACAGACAGGGCCTTCCACGCGCAGTACTCACCTCCTGCCCAACTGCAAAATAGAACGGCAGGGATCAGACTGCGGACAGAACTTACGACGTCACAATATTTGCAGCTTCTTTGCCGCCAGAGAAGAGGGTGCGCGAACAATGGAACGATTTCATATATATATATATATGTATATATGAAATGGGTCGAGGAGACATGCGACGACACAGGTGGCATATCTACCACCATTGTGGGAAGGGACATCAACAGCCAGTTGGGATTGCACAGGTCAGACAGCAAGGATTTGGTTTGGTGGCCAGCAGGTACAAGTCGGGCAAACATGCAGCAGCATTGGGACCAGTGGCCAAGGAGGTGGAGAACGACAGTGGCACAACATTCAAGGAATTGTGCGTTCACGGCTTCTTGTCGGTGGTCACGACTTTCATAGATTGTGGGCCTACTTACTACTGCGTAAGAAACGAAACGAGAAGATGATGACGAGCGAAGTAAGCCACATAGCAATGCCGTCGGGTGCCCTACCCCACGTGCGGAAGTGCGCAGCATTGAGAGGAGTGGCGAAGAAACTGCAGCAAATCAAAGCGAGGGGGCACAGAGACCACATCCCTTTGGGCTTGGATACCGGACTGGAACATCGATTTCATTTCCCGGGCAAACACAGGCAGCAAAGAGCAGACAAAGAGGTGGGCCGCAACATGCTGATGGAGTGCCTGAGGGAAGGTCGCCTGAGGGCGGAATTCCTGTGCGCGTTCGACCGCCGCCTGCAGGCCGCCCAGTCGTAGCAGCCACGGGCAACATTAGCGAAGTTCTCTCGGAGTGCGGCCCAGGCTGTACCTTCGGGTGATGCATTCGTGGAGTTTTCTCGGGGTGCAGCCCAGGGGGGCCCTGCCGACCCCCCAGGAGGAGCATTGGCGAGGTTTTCTCGGAGTGCAACTCATAGGGAGCTAGCGGCAGGAGAAGAATGGAGAGAGCTGCAGGAGCGCCCTACGACAGATCAGATATGGAAGAAGTGGAGCGAGGCGGTATGAAAGGGATATTCCCGATCAGGAGGAAGCAGGAAGACAAGGGGGTGGCCGCGTTCGAATTATTACGGCGCTCCCTACTGGCAGAAAGGATGAAGTTAATGGCAGATTCTGACGCACAGGAGAAATGGAAGGAGATCAAGCAGGAGCTGGCGCAGATACAACATGTACTGCGACGTAAACATAGGTCGGAGTTGGAAAAGGCAACAGAAAAGCTGGCAGAGGAAACATGGAGATCATGCGAGAACAGCAACCTCAGTGAGATGCACAGGCTCAGGGTGGACCGTTTGAGGAATGGGAGAGGACCTAAGAAGAGGTATTATTTCTCAGCGCTGACTTGGTGGAGTACAGAGGAGTGGCTCACAGAGCCGGGCAAACGCCCCCACGACGGGGGGCCGGCAGCCGAGCCGATGGACCTGGAAGAGTATGGGAAGGAACATGGCGAGTTGATAGCTGAGAAAATGCCGCTACCACTGTATATGGAGTTGAAGGCACAAGTGGAGAGGGACAAGATGATTATGCTAAAGTATTACAAGGAAGCGGCGCGCAGGTGCGCCTTCCCCCGTTGGGAGTGCCAGTAAAACTAACATGGATGATGCTAGAAACCACGGTCAACCTGGAGGGCCCTGAGCAGCTGAGCAAGAAACTGGAGGAGCAACAAGTACGAGCGGCGGAGAAGCGAGATGACGAGGAAGACCTGGACAAGCACAGCGCGCTTTACAAGCGAAGAGTGGGAAGGTTTGTGCTGCAGAAGATGGGTTGGACATCAGGCAGGGCGCTAGGCAGGGCAGACAAAATGGATGACGGCGGGACACTAAGGGCGACAGAAAAGAAAGCGTACCACCTAGGGGCATGCAAGAAAACTGGGCTGGGATCTTCGGTGTTGGAGAAGGAAGCAGGCACGGGGTGCAGGAACAAGCTGGAGGACATCCTGATCAAGCGTCGCCAATCACAAGCTACACCCTTGGACTGGCACAGGTCTATTTGATTTTCAGCGGAGAAGGGCAATCATAAAAAAGGGATTGGAGGGGAAAGGGTCATGCGTGCATGCTGCTCAATGGGAATGGATTTCCACAAAGATATCCATTACAAGGAAAAAACCGAAGCACCCCTGCTGGGCACAGGGGGGGCTTAGACACATAGCGAGGGAGAATGCGATTACCTGCGTCGGGGCTGCGCAGTGGAGAGCAAGGCAAGCAGGAGTGAACGCTATCACAAACAACTGCGACTGCACAAACGCATTCGCAAGGACGGAACGCAACCTCCTACTGGCATCGGTCTCGCCACGTCAAAAGAGGAGGATTTACCATTTGCGGCCGAGGCGCTGCACGGCGCGTCTATGAGTAAGGAATGCGCGTACACTTGGCTGCGTGCAAGGACTACGAGGGGAGTGCAAATGGGATTTACATTGTGCCCAAGACAGTTCAACGATACTTACAACCTGTGCGTGGGGCAATGGCACCAGGAAGAAGGAGAGCGGGGCAAGATGCAGACACTGCGTGATACAGTGGGCCCCGCCAACGAGCGGGAGCACGACCTCTCGCTCAGCGCGTTCGTGGACGACAGCACCAAGAGCCACGCAGTGGTCTCGTCGGGCCCGAACCCTCTTCTATCTGGAGTTAGCGAGGTAATCTCGGAACACCAAGCGGAGCTTGGCGAAAGCGAGGTTGTCTCGGCCCGCCCGGGCCCCCAGTCCCAATCGGCTCTAGGCGGAAGCGGGGTCATCTCGGATAGACGAAAGAACCCGCGCGACAAGAACCGCAGACCAAACCAACGCCACCACTCAACGCTTAGAGAGCAAGCCGGGCACAGGTGGATGGAGCCTGAACCCAGCCAAGACCAACCACCTGGCGGCCCTTCGAGGACCGGGGCGAAATGGGACCACGAGGCAGCTGTAGAGAGAGAGAGAGAGAGAGAGAGGGAGAGAGAAAGAGAGAGAGAGAGAGAGAGAGAAGCAGATCAAGGGCACGTTGATGAGGGAGATGAGAGTATGTGGGCCGTACCTATCAGGAGATCAGGGATGCGCAGGAGAGATAAGGAAGAGGTGCGAAACCATGCAGCTTGCTTACATGAAGTGTGGGTGCTTCTGGTCTTCAGATACAGCAGGCACATTGAAACAGATAGGTTTCAGGCGTTTGTTGCGGGAGCGGGCCTTTAATGGGTTGACGGCTTTTGTACTAGAAGAGCGTCACTTGAGGGCACTCGACAGTGCGACGGCACTTCTTTTGAGAGGGGTGGCAGGAGGCAGAATGGGCTGGGTGGAAGCAGACGGTACAACCAAATGCTACGCCAACAAGGAGGTGTTCAGGAGATAGAGGATACAGCGCTGCTCGATGGCCCTGAGGATGCGCCGGATGCGCGGGCTACGGTGGTACAGACAATGGGCGAAATATCCAGGATTTTGCCAGTGTGCTGGCAACTGTTGTTGGAGCGTCGAAGCTGGGCAGTCTCTGCCAGGTCAGGAGGATGGAAAATTGGTGGATATGCGAAGCATCTACACCTTGGGCCCAGTAGGACTTACGGGCGTTGACGGAAGTCAGCGAGGACGTGTGGAGCTGGTGTCCGAAGAGGCAGTCAGATATCTCAATGTTCAAGAGAGGCACGAGGGATCGGGAAGCTTGGGTGGGGGCGGACCCCAGTGTCTTACGCCGCGCTGGAGAAGCATGGGGCGCAGCGCTACCTGAGATCACGGCGGGTGGAGAGGTGGTGGCTCAGTTTGGGCGTGACTGGGAAATTTGAACAGGGGGACAGGTGCGCGGAGGACAGTGTACTGCGGCGGCGGCGCTGGCAGGGCACGGGGGAGTGGTGCGCAACTGTCTCCCTCTGATCCCCAGCCTGGTGATGACGAATCAGTGACCTTGGTGCGTGAGCTCGTTCGCGTTAACAAGCATCACGACGGACCATGTAATGAGAGCGACGGAGAGTCACGGGATATGTTGCAAAAGCAGAAGCTGCTGGAATCACCCCGTGCGTGAGCCCCCTTCCCTCATCTGCATCCTCTGTGGCTTTCGGGCTCAATCCTTGGCAGGCTTTCAGATGCGTGTGCGCTGCCGCCGTGGATATTGTCGCTGCCAAGACGGGGGGCGAGCGCGGAGATGGAAGGGGGGCCGCGGCACCGCAGGGGCGGCCGGGGAAAA